CCTTCTTTTGTTTTTTTTTTGCATTTTAAACAAGGCTTGTCAATTGAGTGAAAGTGAATAGTGCATCTTCTGCCTGAGTATTCAGGATCCAATTTCCCTTTCCGAGAATTAAGAGCTTTAATTTTGGTTAGTTGACTTGGTACATATTGTGTATTGTTAGCTATGTAAATATCAAATCAAAATAAATAATCAACAGTAAAAACAAACATAGTAGCCAGAACCCCACCTGGCACCAGTGAACATTTTAGGGACAAGATCTCAAAGGGTCTTAGTGGCAACTGGCAAATAGCAATCTTTAAAAATTAGAGGCCTTTCAAGCAACCATTGTATCCTCCACCAAAGATTGGAAAGTGATCTTTGCCAAACTTAAGTTCCCACGTGTGATTTGGCTACAGGTAGCTGAAAGCCAGAAAGTGTTTCTCTGCAACAGAAATGCCAGAACAATAATGGTGATTTTGTCAAAAACGGAGGTTTCGTGAGAAATCATGCCAAGAATTTTGTAGCAAAGGTTAAATAATGAAATAGTTTCAGGGAACATGGCAAGATAAACAAATATCATAGGCACCATTTATGGCAGCTTTTTAGTAATGCACAATGTGGAATAGAGGGTAAAAATTATTGCATGCCTGGGAAACATATTCCATGCAAAGACAAAGCTCTATACACACAGTCTGAGCTGTGAGCAGCGGCAAACTATTGGCTGTGACCTTCAAGGGAAGGCATTAGATCTGCAAGTAACAGTGTTTGGACGCTTTATGAATAACTGAAGGTTGTATATTTATGCATATTTTTTAATGACACGTCAGAAACACTCTAAGAAAAATTAAAAGTTTAATATAGACATGCGTCTTTAGGTCTGTATGTATCACAAGCATAATTGTTGAGGGGGGCATGGGGGTGGGGCTGAAGAGTTGGGCGAAAAGGTAAATACTGAAAAAATTGTTTTGCAAACCACCTCCATTTTTCATGTTAAACAAACATTGAACCTTCAATCTATTCCTATTTTGAATAGGGTCCCTGTCAATGCTAAAACTAATAAATATTTTCTCTTTGTCTTAGATATGGTATATTTGATGATATTTTATTGGGATTCAAAGATATTATTGGTAGGCCTTTTTTATGAAATCTCGCAAGAGAATCTTTGCCATACATAGATGCTTTCACCAGAGTTAAGAATCTAATAAATTTGTTCTAAACTTTAGCTGGAAGAGGATTGGTTCTTTATTCTGTTATCTGCTCCTTACAATGCTAGGGCATCAAACTAAAGAGCATCCTAGTGAACAATGGCATAATTCAATTGGCATAATGCAAGTAGAATAAGGAGAAGCAAAAAAAATAAAAGATTCATTATTTTGCCAAGGTGATTTTTACGCTTTCAGCCACATCTCTTTCTTAAAGGGCATATGTCGCATTAACAGTTGGCTAATAAAACAAAAGCGTTTAGATTGTAGTTCCATTGTTTCATGACTTTTCATTTCTTCTTCTTGAAGTTTTACTGCTGTAAAAATTCACCCCTATTCCATGCTTTGTACTAAACAAAAAAGATTATTCTACATATTGCATTAGCCAATCATGTTCATGACACATTCCCTTTAAGCTTGTTTAGATATAATGAAATTTTTCAATTTTTACAGATTACATAAAAAACCCTCCATATTTTGGTGGCACTATTGGAAGGGTGGCTAATCGTATTGCCTTTGGAAAATTTTCAATCGATGGCCAAGATTTTGAGTTACCTTGCAATGAAAATGGCATTAATCACCACCATGGTGGTTTCAAAGGATTTGATAAGGTAACTTACATTCTCGTCGCGTTGCGGTGTTCCCTATATACTACTTTTTCAAAACTATTCACCCAGATTTTAAATCAAACAATCACTTTTTAATCAATGTATGATTTATTCCTCTTCCTTTTGTTGCTTAGACTTCAATTTCTGTTGTAATATTTGATGTACCTAAAATGCAAAACCAAAGTCCTAGACTGAAAGAAACTTTTAACATATATTCTAGAAGATTCTTAATTATGCTACTGTTGTTCTAGAAGATCCCTATTTACCTTATTTACTCTAATATTCCCGCTGCGGGATTAGCGTTTCAACCTAACAAAAAAAGGCGGGATTATTCGAGAGGCGGGTATATTAGAGAGGCGGGGTTTATTGTTTCAATGCCTTGAAGTCTAGTTTGAGGATACCGTTTCAACAAAAAAGTCTCTTAAACGTGATTGTGGCAAGTCAGAGAAAAAAATATGCAATTTCAACATGAATTTGGGGGGGGGGCTAAAGTTAAATGGGGGTGGGATATTTATTTTCACAGACAAGACAGAACAGATATTGTGCTTTATAGACAGTAGTACAAAGTCAAAGAATCAAACGTCTTTTTATGTTGCGAGACTTGGATATTTGATTAACTTGCAAAATAAGACAGCTTCTTGCCTTCTCCCGTCTATGACATTATCATGTGATTTAACCCATTCACTCCAAGCATAAATTTCAATCCTTGATTTTCAACCCATATAAAGTGTGTAAAGAATAGCAAATGCCAATTAAAAGTTTCAATCCCGCATGTGGGATTACTGGGGAGGCGGGATTATTCTTACAATCTATGAAATACAAGCGGGATTACTAAAAAGGCAGGAATAAAAGAGAAGCGGGAATATTAAGTAAATACGGTATTTGCTGAACCTGATATTTGCTTTATTCTTTAGAATTGATATTTTGTTATTGAAAAACGTTTGGCTTCAAAATAACACGATGATACTCAACTACAACAACGAAGTACAAAAAAAATTGTCAAATGTAAAAAAAAATTTGCCTTGGAATCTATAAAGTTCAAATTGTGGGGGACACTATCAAAGGAATTCGAAACTTGAGATTCCATTTGGAGGATTAAAGAGACTTGTTATAACTCATAAACCAACCTTGCAACTTCAGATTCTGTAAGATATTTTATCCCAACTTCAATGTTTATTGTAAATTGTATTTCATAGATAGTTGGCTTTAATTAGCATTTTGAGCTACAACTTGTTGACTAACTTTAAATCGAAGAGTTATTGCCCGTATGATAATATCTTTGACTCATTTTAAGGTATTTTGGGATTCGTCGGAAATGGAAGACGACAATTCTATCAGCTTTTATTTGAAAAGTTTAGATGGTGATCAAGGATATCCTGGAGAGCTAGATGCATCTGTGCACTACCTTTTAACAGATGAAGATGAACTTAAGGTTGCATTCAAGGCCACTGTGAAAGATAAAGCAACTATCGTTAACCTTACAAGTCATCCATACTTCAATCTTGCAGGGGTACAGACGGTATGATGATAATTTCTTGCCCATACATTTTAATCCATTTATTTTTAAGCTTCAGTTTCACTACAAAGTTTTGCTACGATTACATCTATGTTTTTGTGAAAAGTTTTAGTATTAACAAAGGAAGCACATAGACATTAAAATGAATGTGACAAACTGTTTACAATATAAATCAGCTTGCAGACTAAACTTGACTTCCAAGCTAACGTTTGGTTTGATCCAGGGTTGTCGAGAAGGGGGTGATGGGACACGTCTTCCGCAATCTGCTTAGCCTGCATCACTACAATCTGTTATGAATGAATATCGAACATAATAAGAAAGGTTTTCAACTTTGCCACGTTTAAGATTGTCATTCTGACTACCGTGGCTTGTTTTAGATTTGAATAAATTATAGAGCCCTCAATGTAAACTAAACTCGTATATCGAAATATGCGATTCTTTGATATTCCAAGAAGTTATATATTGGTTACATAAATTTCAGAAATGCAATGAAATGACTGATCACTTGCTGGAGATCAATGCAAATTCTTACCTACCTGTTGACAAAAATCTTGTACCCACAGGTATGTGTTTCGTTATATGTTTCTCGTGCAAAACATTATCTTGCCTTGAACTGTTATAAATCATTTTTGGAAAGTTCGTTTGCATCGTATTATGGTTCGTTCACGTGGTAGGCCCTTAACTGGTTCGCAGAGGTGGAAAAGTGCATGAAGCCACGAATCTTCTTCGCTGGAAGCTCAGTAACCAGAAGGGAAAGGACAAATGAACAGAAATTGAAAAGAGAGAGGAGAAAGATGAAAAGATTGAAGAGAGGAAATACATAAAATACAGAACGTAGTTTGGAAAAAAGCAGGGCCTAAATGGAGCTACAATACAAAAATACTGGCTAAGGGAGGGTAGAAACGAGTGTTAAAGGAAAGAAAGGGCAATATCAAGAATCGGGTTTCTATCTCCTTCAATTGCAAATCGCATGAGATGCAAAGAGATGCTAGGATTAGAACATAACAACTAAAATGTGCTGAAATACTACTGAAATACAAAAAGGTCAATTGAAAGGTAAATCCAAGACATCCTGAAGTATATATCTCGTCATGTCACAGACAACTTGTTGTGATTTCTGGCGATGTTTTACATAATTAGAAATAATATTCTGAAGGAATGCGAAGAATATTCTGAAGGAGTTATAAATTATCACGAAAGACGTCAGCAATGCAATCACAAATTTTGGTTTGTTGCAGGAATTTGTAGTACGAGTAAGCAAGAAGGTAGTCAAATGATTTAATTTTACCTTGATAATTTGATTCAGGGTAAATGGGGGAACGAGATAACGCTGCTGGGTAAGAAACTAACGAAACGTAAACAAACAGATGTTTCCTTTTCGAAAATTGTTCAATGAACTGAAAGTAGAGACTTGAGAAACCGTGAAAACTTTAAATGAACTTATATGTGTAGGCTACAGATGCGTACCAATTGTTTGAAAAGCAAATTTTCCAGAAAGGTTAAACTTTTTTCCACCACTCTAGGCCCTATTTATAACCACGATTTGAATGCACTTAAAATACCTACATGCCAGATGTTGAGCCAGAATTGACGACAACATAAAACCCTGGTAATTTTATACTTTGGGGAAGTTTTGTATTTTGCCAGTAACTTTACAATCAACAGGGACTTGATATTGACTTAAAAGCTTCTACACTTAGGCATGCCATGGGATTTTTCGAGGCCGGAGCTTTTACTCCACTGAGTTCCTAGATAGACTACATGAAGGAATAGAAACAATATTTGAGTGTTCTTAGACTCGGAAGCCTGCGCTTTTCTATCTATATCGGTATCAAATTCGTGTAGAAAAGCTTGATCCAAATGAATTATTACATGCCTACTTTGACGCAAGGTAAAGCCTTTTTTGTATTTGTTCTACCTAGCATCAAAAAGTCTCCTGGTCCTTCCTCTCGATGTGACCACACCTCGTGATTCCTATGACTGGTATTACAGAGGGCTGGCGATTCTCATCACTTTGAGCACAGAATTTCTATTCTGTGCTCTGGGTGAAAGTTTGGTCGTGCCAGGGACTCGAACCACGGGTCTGTCGACAGTGCCTCTAACAACTGAGCCGTCCTCGCAGTAAGGACTTGCAATCAAAGTAGTACCTTGGGTACCATCACTGATCTCAAAAAAGACTGGATCGAACAACCTATTGTTCTCCTACATCAGCACGAGGAAGCGATCGAGTCTCTCCACCTTGAGACCTCTCGTGCCTAAAGCTTTGGCTGCCATTTGTTAAAATGGTGCACACACATTGCTGCCCTTTAAATTGTGCATTAATCATTAAACTCTTAAATATTCTAAGAGAAAACAGGCCTAGGAAAATGAGCCAACAGTGGATTATCCGTTACATAAGCTTAATAACATGGCAAAAATGTTTAACGTCACTTACAAATGCTGCAAGTTTTTGTTTCAACGGTTACTTTGAATTTTGCTATGAAAAAGCGAGTTGTACTGAAACTAATATGATTGCACAATAGTCTCATACAACACGGCGAGGTCTCAAGATGGAAGCTGCAATGTGGAATCAACGCTGGGCTGGGGAAGCTCGATCCAGTCTTTTTTGAGATCGGTGGGTACCATAGCTACATAGAAGATAGGTGTGGAAGCCGATGAGGGTCTTTATGTGAGAAGGAAAACTTTTCAGATACTAAAACTGTTGTTCGTTTCTCTAATGGTTCTCTCTCCAATTCTATTAAAACCCCTAGATTGTATTGAGGATTAATTAATTTTCCAGGAATATTTTCCCATGACAGGTGAGAGATGCAGTGTCAGTGAAGACGGGGGTACGTTTGACTTTCAGCAGCCTAAATTGATTGGTGATGCTCTCAGCAAAGTCCCTGGCGGAAATTACGATCATACTTTTTGTAAAAGCCGAAACGGCGCTTTTGCTGCAAGGTAAATACGAAAATTGTATCTTTTTTAAGTATTAAGGATGTCAGCTAATCTATAAAAACCTTATTGCAGTATAGCACGAGGGCTGATATGGAATTGTCAGTTTTCTGGAACTAGCACTTATCAGCACTATATATGTCATAAAATGTTTTATTTTAGATGTAGTTAATGAACAGGATTACAAATATTGCATATGGTCCATTTATTGCGAATTTAAGAGGCATTAGCTACAATTAAAATAATTTTATTTATTTCTTTCCATTCTTTGGATGGTTTCAGCATGGATGCTCGTAAACGTGCTTTAAGCCCTGCAAAATTAATAAAGAAAGGTTACTTTATCTAAGAAAGATTTGCCTATTCATCCAGAAATGTTGTAAGGATTGGAATTCCTTTTTCCCCATCTCTTTACTCTCATTTTTAGTCTTTTTGTTAAGAAATACATTGAAAGTTTTGAAAAAAGTAAACTTTTGATGTTCGAGTTCTTTTTACCGAAACATTGTCTAGAAAGTGGCAGAGAAGTTAGGAGAAAGATGGCAAGAGAGTGTTTATCACATACCGTGCTGTAAAGCAATCAGTCTTTTGGTGAATTGTGACTTGAACCGCCTTTATGGGACAACAAGATATCCAATTGTAGACAGACTTCTTAATCAAAATGCTTTTGTTTGATTAAAGTTATTCACAGAGTTATGCACTTGACAAGAGCATATAAAGTCAGGGGAATTTGCCGTTTACTTTTTTCCTGACAAAGCGCCTTTGACACGAAATCTTTTATTCAAAAGATTAATTGAAAATTGTTAGGAAGGCAAATATGACATAATTTCATCCGAAAGAAGGCTGAGGGGTTTTCTAACCAAATATAATCTTTTTGTACCCTGGAAGGAACTAACAAGATTAATTTTGTTTAATAGACTTATAAATCATCCTTTTTGACAGACTATAGTATCGAAAATACTTTTGCTTTCATCTATGTGTAAAAGGAAAAAAGCCCATCTTTATTTTTTCTTATTTAAAAACGAGTATCACAATGGGCAGTGTAACCTGTCAAACCTCTACATCTTTGTTGCAAGTAATCTTTAGCGGAACTCACAGCTTAAAATAAATCCCCGCAAATAGCCTACTTTTTCAAGAGATTTTAAAGCTGCATATAAGAGTTGTAGGATTAAAGAAAAATGACATTAAATGGTGTACTTTTATGATGGCTAGTGATGCCTAACAGCAGGGGTATCTTGTAAAATTGAAAGATGCTATTTTGTTGTGGTTTGCTTGGCCTGTCACAAGTCTTTGAACACTCATGTCGGTTTTCATGAGCGAATTCAGTCAATCCTCCCCTCTCTCCCCTCGAAACAGTGTTGGTTTTCTATAAAACGACTTAGGTGATTAGAAAGTAGATTTTTTCGTTTGACTTTCGTGATATTTGGGGAAGAAATGAACAATAAAGAAGTAAAATGACAACTGCTTGGTGTTGCAAGTAACTTTGGCAGATATTGTATTGTTGATGCACACTTCAAGCCGAGCGAAACATCAAGCGTAAACAGGGCCTACGTTAAAACCTTGATGATCAGGTTTTACGTTTAACGTAGGCCCTGTTTACGCTTGATTTTTCGCTGTTTACAACCTTAAGTTTTCTTTAATTATCAAATGATGTTTAATCATTAATGCAGATTATGGTAGTGGTTTTTGATTTTCTTAATGTTTATATCTCCAAACCCGCTATCGATTGTTTTGAGGATTTCTTATCATATTGTCATATATGCGGGTGAATTTTATCAAATGATTATGTTCTTGCATAAAGTATTAGTTCTTTGCAGTTATATGTGCACCTAGTTTCTTGCAAGAACAGCTATGTTTTAAATAGAATTTCTAGACATCATAAGTGGCTTAACTACGATAACCTTATATTTTTGCTCTGTGTTGTCTATCTGTCTAAACATTTATCGGTACTTTTTTTCACGCTTGTTTTGCTTCTTTTGAACTTCTGAGCACATTTTTGTATTGTTAACAGTTTGTACCATCCTGGGTCTGGTCGTTTCTTAGAAGTGTTCTCAAGTCAGCCGGGCACCCACATTTACACACCAGATTTTACCTGTGGATCGCTGATTGGTAAACACGGCAGTCCTTATAAAGGGAGAAGTGGATTGGCAATTGAAAATCAAAATTTTCCAAATGCAGTCAATTTGGTAGGTTTTGTTGGTTGTAGGGTCACGTTAAATGTTGAATTTTAACCAACACTGGCCTATTTTCCTCGATAGCAAATATATATATATGTTATTGCTAAATATTTGGTGACAGTGGGCGTAATTGAAGTTGTCAGTTTGTTTTCTTTAGGCAAACCCTATTCTTGAGCATGTGGTATTATCATAAAGAGGATGTTAAAGATGTATTGTTTTGGCCATTAAACATATCTACATTCCTAAGCCTGCATGCACTTAGTACTGTTTCCATTACGCCATTCAACGGAGTCGTCAAACATTGTGACATAATCGAGGCTGTAAGACAATTGCGGAAATTACAGGGGGAGGGGCAGTCGCGTTCTTGTCGGAAAATTCAGGTATTTGTCGGATAATCGACAAAATTTTATTGTACCAAAAGCCCAAGATGTTGCCTTGTCGGATAATTGTGGGCCTTTCATTATTTTCCAACGTCAATTTCTTCTTCCTTTTTATTTCAAAGTTGGTTTTTAATAAAGGACACGGAGACCAATTGTCAGTTGAAAATGGTCAAGGGGCAAGGACAAGACAATTTAGATCTGCTGGGAAAGGGGGCGTGTGGCTGCAGTGAGATATGCGGAACTTGGTTTTTTGGGAAGCAAAATATATTGGGTTGGGAGGAATAGAAATTATACTAGCATATGCAATCACTTTAGGCTAGATGCAGAGTAAAATCATATGCAATGTTTGTCATCATTTTTATTTTAAATTTGTTGTTTTCGTTTCAGCACTTTCCACCTACTCCGATTTTGCGTCCGGGCGACCTCTACGAACAGCTTACCACTTATAGGTTCTCCAAGAAATGATTTTCTGCAGTTTAGATAGCTTCCATTATCGAAATCTGTTTTTCAAGAATAAAGTATTAACTATTGTCATTTTTCAATTTAACTTCAGTTTTCTTAACACAGTGCTTTTACGCAAATACTAACATCAGCACGAAGGGGGTTATTGATCAAATTATTCTGAATTTTCCTCGTTTTATTCGATTAGTTGGTTAGCAATACCGAACTGAAGCCAATGAACAGTCCCCTGCGTACTTAAATGTTATGAGTGTAGCTTTCGGAATCATAGATGGTTAATACTTCATCATCTGAGAGTGTCAGCAACTTTAGTATCTTTTTTTGATGAGTCGTAATGGCAGAGCATTTCTTTTTGTCATTGAATGATTGACATGTCACGTGATTACTAAACTATGTAACTGGTCCCTATAAACCTCACCCCCTCCTTACATGTAGATCACTGCTTGTATCATCTGCGGGAAAGATATCTGTTTAAGATGGGAAATTTGGCTTTTTACTTGTTGATTTTTCATATTTTTTATAATTTTCATATCTTTATACTGCGCTGTGTGCCTCTTTATAAGAACTTTTGTATTTTTCAAAGTGTAAAACGTGACCATAGTTTTGCATTGAGCATTCTCTGTAAAAAGTTAGCCCGTGAAAAAAAAGATGTAAAATTAAAAAGAAAACTCCAAAAGTAGTTACTACACAGTTGCATTTAGACTTAATGCAAGTATTTACCATTTAGTGCAATACAAAAATTGTTCTAACGCTAATTGTAATTAGAAACGTGATTAATTAAAATGGAGTAATTAGCTGAGTTTCAGATATTTTTATTGCATAATTGGAGCATATAAACACAAAATATTTTTATTTTATAACTTTCTCAAAGGACGATTTCTCCTTGGAGGGACCTGTCTTCTTTTTCGAAGGTAATCGTGAGACAACTTTGCACAGTAACTACCAATTGTATGCGAGATAGCCCAATACAGTGTTTTGTTTATAGAGCCGTTATATGTTTTTTACAAAACTGGTTGCTAATGGATCTCTTTTTTGCCGTGACATCTTCACAATTGCCGATTCAGTTGAAGTTACGAAAATTTTTCTTTATTTCATTTGCTTGGGCCTCATTTACACACCCAGCCCACTTCGATCTCCCTCCAATTTCTATGCAACTTCAGTTCTATTCATGATAATATTTCGTACATAGCTTCTTGCAACTTTTATCATACAAGGTGTTTCCTCTACTCCTATTCATCAAAATAAATTTTGTCTATTCAATTTTCAACAATCTTTGAATATTGGCCTTAGTTAAAGGACTGTTTGTGCTAAGTTTTACACTAAGGTGCTTGATTTATTTATGCATATATTGTCAGATTAGCCACTTATAATTATGTAAGAACATGACCAGTGATTCGTCTTTCGTGCATCAAATTCAACTACTCCATGGTTCAATTGAAATCAGGGAACGTACATCATTTGTATCTGATGTTCTTTGGTGTCCATGACTCGATAAGAGGATGTTTTGACTGTGATTTTCACCAGCTTGCCAACAAGAGAAGGTGCATTAAACGGCAGGGTATGTGTAAGGCTTATGGTAGTGTTGGCCCCTTTGGCCAGCTCAAAGTTTGACGTACTTGCACTGACAAAGCCAAAATTTGTCGATACGGTGAGACTGTACTTTGTTTTATCTCCGTTGCTGAAGAAGTAGACCTTGATTGGGGCTGTTCTGTTTCTGACTGTGGCCGTGTAATCGTTTCCAGCTCTTATTGTAACCATGACAATATTTGATGCAAGGAAAGAAAGTTGCGACATCCTTGTGAAGTTTTGGCCATTAGACAATTTTCCTTTCAATTTTATTTTGAACTTCCCATTGGGTGTTTTGATAACGCTTTTAAGAATTCCTTCGCCGCCACCAGATTTCAAGATGTTAACATCTTCTTGTAGCACCCTTCCACCTTCACTTAATATGTCTATGAGCAAACTTTCGTAATCCAGCAACTTTGCCCCAGCTACTTGGAGCATAGTTGTAGTATTCTTACCTATAATGATAATCAAAAGCAGTAATTACAAATGCTCAGTTACAGTCACCAATAGCAAAATTTATCTAAAAAATTTTGCCAACTAGCAGTCTGCAGTAATTCCAGTTTCAGAGAAACAAATCAAATATTACGTACTAAATCGAAGTCTACAAGAATACTAAATCTAAAAGTTACATCATAAATCTACAACAAAATCCTAAATGAATGTCTGAAACCACTGTTTATCAACGGATTTTGACTGAGAAGACCTAACGTCATCAAACCATTTGCCTTTCATTTTCCAGAGTGGTAGCTACTATTGTTCTTTCTTGAGGGGGCGGGGCTTGTTTCCATACAATTGCGCCCCAAAATAATTCTACCCTTCCTACGGTACTTAAAAAAATATGCAGTTTCCATACCAAATTTCGTGCTATCCTCTTTGGAACATTTAGAGCATATTTTACAATCGTTTTGAGCCATGGCACATTTTTACATCAAGAATAGTTCAGGGCACACCAGAAACAAATACTGGTAAAATATGACAGCTTAATAATGACAACATAGACTTTTTCTCAATTACTTGTTCTCAATGTGAGTTTGATTACAATTACAGTAAATACAATTAGCAAAGGCAAATTATTTGCTAATGATAATTGATAAATTTTCGATATCAGTTTAGACCAATTAATTGATTGATAATCTCCCATGATATAACTACGACTTTTCAAGCAGATCATGTCCTGCGTCACGGTATTTCAACATCAACATATCCTTAGATATATCTTTCGCGCAATTTTTTATGTTTATGGTGGGCTAGGTCTCAGCAACAAAATATCTAGACACTTTTAGTTAGGAATCGCAACGCTAGCAATGAAACATTATGGAAACTGGGAGAAACTTGGACGATTCTTTCATTACCCTCCAAAGATTTTCTAGAGAGAGAGGCCACATTGAAATGCAAAACTGACTGGGTCCCCAAAAAAATGCAGAACTGAGAGGGGTGTGCTAAGAAATGAATAATGCAATATAGGTACTTCTTGGTAGAAACTTAAAAGTTACCTCTCACTGGATGCGGAACGGATAAAACAGGCCGGCTATCATCTGCTATCTCACTTTCACTGTGAAGAAAATATGGCTTGAAATCGACAGTGTTGTTTCCAGCTGACTTTGCAACGTAGGACTTGATGTCAACCCCAGCAGGATACTTGAGATGCCATGTTCCTGGAAACGGATTTTCTTGCTTGAAGATGCATGTGTACGTGGTAGTAAGAATAGGAGGTAGAGGTCTGCCAACTGGATCCACCAGCTTCACAAACTTAGCTTGGCCTGCCTGCTTCACTTCAAGAGATATCAGCAATGTAGTTATTTCTCCATCTAGAGTAATGAACACATCTGAACCGTCTTTTCCTTCGTGGATGACAACGCTGTCCTTCAAAGAGTCCTCCACATAGTCCTTGAATCGCTGTATTTCACTGTCTGTTTTTAGCGGGAATATTTGACCTGATGTGTGCGAGGCAACCTCGTCAAAACCAACTGGTATTCCAGATCCACAGCTGTTCTTCATGAAAAAGTTTATGGTCACTGAGAAATATTCCGCGTATTTTTTGACCTCGTTTATATTTGCCGCTGTGCTGTCTTTTGCGCTGGCATCCGTAAAAACAAACATCGGAGATCCAAGTTGGGGTTCTTGCTTCAAAGCATTAAGGATACCTGTGAAGGCCAGCTCCGGGCAGTCACCTCCTCCTCGGGCGTAGAGGCGTCTTATTGCCAATACAAAGTCGTCTCTTTCTTGCTCGCTCATATACGTTACAGGCCCCGTGCCTAGCGAAAAGAAATATATATTCCGAATTCAGTGAAATCGTATGTATCAAGCGGCAAAAAATCATAATTTGAGACAAAAAATTTGGACAATGACTTTGGAATCATTGTTTGATACTATTTTGAACAACGATTAAAATCTCTAAAAATGATCTTTCCTAAATATCTGTTAGAAAACATGTTTGGTGCACGCGCTTATATCATTGATCAAAGCAGGCAGTGACTTTTCGTTTAGAATGACATTGACGCAATCTTTGTAGCTGATGCCTCGTGTAACTTGGTTTTATGCTGCATGGAGTTATGAAATGAGCAATATGTTACTACACTCTCCCAATGACATGCCACTCTCACTACCCATGACTTAAGTTGTGACACTGATTCCTCGTGCAAGTGCATTCTCTGTCAGAAATAGCTGATACAAGTGTGCTGCGTTCTTACATACTCCGTGTGCTATCGTCTTGCAATTATTCCTTTTGCATATTTGTACCTTGGTAAAGTGTTTCCCAACTTCATTCGTGATTACATAATTAAGGCACGGTTAAAATAAGAAAAAAGAGGAGCTTTATGAATATAAATATAATCAAAGAAAGAAACGCATTTATATTAGCAAATTTTAACGAGCTATGCTGGAAATTTTAAGAAAAGAAATAGAAAATGTACTTGGATCATTAAAGGGTGACAGAATGTAATCCACTGGAAACTGCCTTTTCCTGTTCACGATAGAAATTGCTATTTCTTTTGCGGCATTGATTTCTTCACTCATGCTTCCAGTTGTGTCAATTGCAAACATCAATGTAGCGCCACCTGTTGCCAGCATTAGCTCATCAAAATTTTCTTTTCCAATGTCCTTTTTGATCCATTCGAGATAACCATCTGCTGCTTTGCTCATGTTTGAAATAGGGGTACCTTCGCTGATCTTTTTCTATGGTACGAACGGAGCCATTAGAGACATTTCAGCAAAGAGCATCATTAGATTTTTGTTGCAGCAAAAGAATCTAGGATTTCAACACACACAAAAGACTTGCATGTTAGCGCGATGTAGACTGTGTTTTATGTTATTAATTTTCATGTATGGTATACTTTTATGTTTGTTTTGTGTCATCCCATCATCATAAACTTTACTGAAATGTTGTGTTAGATCATGTCACTTCTTATGTCCTGTTTGCTGTGGTTTGTGAAGTCAGTTTTGTAGCACTTATTTAAACTTCACAGGCAAGGCAAGGCACAAGGCACAAAGCAAAGGCAAGGGCACAAGGCATAAGGCAAGGCAAGGCAAAGTCAGGTAAGATAAATTAGGGTCAGGTAAGATAAGGTCAGTTCAGGCCAGGTCAGATCAGGAGACGTCTTGTAATGTCATATTATATCATGTCATGTCGTGAGTTTTGTGGTAAACTAAGTTATGCTATGTGTTGTTTTTTGCTTAGTTAGTCATACACCTTTACAGGCGTATGATGATATGGTGCACAACCTACCTTGATAAATACGTATAAACTCTTTGCAAAGACTGATCTTGCAAAGTCCTTGCTTGTTCGATTAGCAGCGATCTTAATTATTTTCTTCATGTCGTCAAACCTTTCTTCTAGCGTGCGCCTCTTAGAATAGACATCAAATGAGGTGAGGCCAGCCGTGTCTCGCTTAGTGCGTTTAGTTCCCTCGTCGATGTAATCAAATGCCTGCTCATTTGCAACCTCTCTTTGCATTGCAAATATGGCCTTCTGGAAACGACCTGTTAAGATGAATAAAAACACCTCTGTATTCTTGTCAATTAAATCAATACGTGACACCAAAAAATTAAAGTTGATAAGACTAGTCTAGCCTCAAAGCTATACTAATTTGACAATTACCGCATAAAAAATGTGAGCAACTTGCAAATATTAGGAATCCAGAGACAGCGGGGGGTGAGGGGGGGGGGGTGGAGATGCTGCTAAGCATCTAACATTCGCAAAGCATCTCTAGTTTGTACCACACCTATAATTTTAACATATAACTTTGAATATTACAGAAATCAGATTCCTAAAAGATACAATGCATATAGCCTTTCCGAATTCGCAAAGGTTTTTAGGTGACTAAACAACATAGTAGGAATCGACATTTGCACGTATTTTGGGCAAACATTAACATACTTTTTCGTTTCGTGTAGAGGGAGTTCCTAGTAAAGTATTTTATTCAGACAAAGCAAAAACAAGGGAAAGAAGAGTTAACAACCAAATTTAACGGAACAGGGCAATTGGGGCAGGAAAAAACCGTGTAACTGTAAATTATATCCCACCTGACTATGAGATCACAAATTTGATAAATGCCAGAGCAAGGCGCTTTATGACAAATGCATTAATAGAATAATCCAAGAGGCACGAGAAAATCTGGTATTTGCCAGTGGGAATATTGCGAATGTCTGAAACTGTTACTAAAAATCAGAATTCAATACTACAGTAATCCTCGGCGAACTCCGATTTAAGTTCTTCGAGGCTCCTCGTAGCATCGAGGTCACTGTGCTAGCACAGGTTAATTCATTCTAATTGGAGACAGCTCCTGATTGGCTGTCTCTATCCGCTGCTAGAAAGAAAAGCAAAGGATATTTGCAACACCACATATAAATACCACCAACGCCCATATGCAACCTCAGTTATCTACAGAATGGCATTTCTGTGCTAGCACAGTGAGCCTCGATGAGAAGAGGAGGCGAGAGAGAGAGCTAACCTGACACTTGTGTTTGGTTTGATTGCTTGATTTGATAATTGAGAATGATGTCTTGAACAAGTTGCTGAGTTTGGGCAATACCAGCAGAACCTAAAAGAAATTTATGAAATCGTTCAATATAATAAATATAAACGAAGAATTACAGAAAAAGAGCCCTTGAAACAAAAATGGAGCTAGATTTTCTTTGCAGTGCAAATAAATTCCATCAAAACACTCCAGGCCAAAAAAGGTAAGGTCAAAAAAAATTCACTGTAACTGCAGTGAGGAAGTGAAACAAGCATAGAGATAGGTAAGATGTTTTTGATAAACAGGCTTCTCCTTTGAAGAAAAGATGTTGTAACCTTTCTGACGATGATTACTTTACCAATGACAAAAACTTGACAAATTTAGAAGCTCTGTATGACGACATAAAAGAGAATCTCTTTTCTGGGTCTTCCTCCTTTGCCTAGGCAAGACATCTTTGTATAGTTCAATTCAAAAAACCATGATATCATTGTGGGAGAGAGCAGAAGACTGGAAATTTAATTCCCATTTTTTTGTCATTGTTCATGCTTTTTGATTACCTAGAGAGGAAACGGTTGAGAAATTTGAAAACTTTCGGTTTTTTGCCTTCCCAACAGAGCAGTAGAAATAAAACTACCACAGTATGGAGACCCTCTTTAGGTATTACGAAGAATAATCAACTAAACACTGATTTTTTTGATGTACCTGGGCAGATCATATTTGCACAAAACTGAACGTCTGTCGCAGCCCCAACGCATTTTTTTCCACCTCTTTTTGGTTCAGGATTGTCACATTTGCGCGTCCGTTGTCTTGTTCCACCACCACAGGTCTTGGAACAAGGTCCCACTGAAGACCAGCTAGAGAAGCCTCCATCAACTAGAAGGAATTTAAATGAAGCATTTTACCGCTCGAGATCTTTACAATACTTGATTATGAGGCTGGATTGTTCTTAACATTTTCTGAAATCATAAGGGTGTAAGCAGTGCAGTTGCTAAATATTGTGCTTAAGGGAGTGTTCAGGCACCATTCGCAAACAAAGTTTGAAAAATTCAGCGTCAACTTGACCAATTTGAATCAATTAAAAATAACAAATTTGGAGGCTCTTGTTTTTATAAAATATCCTTATGAGTAAATGTTCTATCAAAAACTGTCTCCCGCTCCGTGATTTATTAGGAATTTGAGAGGCAGCAAGTAACCAGGGCCGCAAAGAGGGGGGGGGGAGGGAGTGGGCAACGGGGAAAAGTTCTGGTGTATGATCAACGGAGAAGACTCAATTTTTTTATAGTGTGTGACCGCCCCGGAAAGTGTCTGACAGCCCCGGAGCGCTTATAGTGTGTGACCGCCCAGGAAGGTTTCTTGCAACAAATGATCATAACGAGGTTATCGGACATCGGTCGATTGCCTTCAATGAATGCGGAAGCGGAAATCAGGAAGTCTCTGAAATCCAACGAGTTCCTTGAAGGAAAGGAAATCGCAAGAAAACTCAGCTGTGGCCACTGAGTGGCTGTAGCTACGGGGAATGGTGCTGGGCACTCCAATGGTTGATATTATTAGACTTTAGGTGGTTCAGTTGATCTTGATGGAGAATATTGATTAAATCGTTTACATGATCAATAACGGATGATACGAAATAACTAGCCTGTGTTCCAGACCCCCCTAACTTGAAAGTTAGGGGTCTGGAGCACAGACTAGAAATAACATGTTATTTGAACTTTCAGGAGAATTTTTTAGGTAGAGAAAAATGTTGAAAAGCTGATGTATTTTTGTAGCAGCTAATTTAAATACTTTACTATGCTAGATTTTATACTAGTCATCATTATACAAATTTGATAAACTGTAAAAAATTGGTTGCACTGGAGCAAATAGATTGAACTGTCGAATTCCTTGAAATCTTTTCCAGCTTTAGAGAGTGAAACTCTGCAATGATTTTTTGTCAACGAATAAATTGAATTTTGCAAAACTCAAATCCACTTTTATGATACGTAGAATTTGGTTTTCTGAGTGACTACACGTATTTAACCCCTGGTCAAGCCCTACGGGCCCTTTCAGAACCAAATAGAGTTCTCAAGTGTGACGTCACAAAACAATTTCTTTTAGAATTCTCAAATTTTGACCACATAGCATGAAAGAACACCATAAAACATTCCTATATATGCAAAATCAGTTAAATTTTCCAAAAATCGGGTGAGCTACGGCCAATAGAAGATTTGAAATTTCCTAAAGGATTACTGTTATTTTGGCTCAGTTCATAAAGTTATGAACTGAGACCAAATTACAGAGGTTTGATGGGGCCAGAGCTTGTGCTCATCTGGTCATATCTCAGTCAATTCGTGATACCTGATTTTGCAGATTTAGAGGTATTTCATGATGCTCTTTCAGGTAATGGGAAAAAATTTCAAAAATTCTAAAAATTAGACGTCATCACTTGTCAACTCTATAGCCACCTTAGAAGAAAAGTGCCAGTCCGCCTCTGGATTTGTAAATCATCCTCCAAAGTTTGCCATTGTCACGTTTTTGAACCCTGACCTGACATTGCTGTGCAATGAGAATTGCGAAATAGTGTGTATAACCCAATCTGATCTTTTTCGGCAACCAAGAGTGCGTGGGTGCCCGTCCGATGTATTGAAATTTGCCAGTCAACACATATAGCCAACCCTCTTCGCTGTAACCAAGACCGACCAGACATGGAAGCCAGAAGCATTTCAAAGTTGGCGGGTTCAGGCCAGTCTGCAGAGTGTGGCATGTGCACATAAGATTTTTTCAGAGGCTTGTCTAATGCACACATAAACATGGGGCTGCACACACATTTTTCTGTACGAAAACCCCCAAAACGTGAACACACTGGGATTTTCGAATATTATGCAGTATTTTGCAGTATTTCGCAGAATTTCGCAAAATTTTGTTTCGTTTCGTTTCGTTGATTATAACAAGCCCTTGCTGGTTTATATGGAAACGTGAGACACTTCTTATTCTTAAATCGTGGTTCCTTATTAAAATATTGGGACAATCAATACACGTCCGGGGGAAGGTTTTTGGCAGCCTTCGTAGGTACATACTTGATAACATAAAGCCGGCTTAATTTGCTTAGGAAAGCTCAACTAAAGTGACAGTTGTTTTCCATTATTACCGTTTGCCATTGCTTTTTGAGATTACCGTTTCCTGGTTCTTTTCAAAGAACTACACCCCAACTATGCACAAAAGTGGGGTGCTGCACTTTCCAAATGACCCAAGCCCTCGACATTCCAATTGCTCGTCTAGCTTACCTTGCCTAGTTTGTCAAACAAATCAAGTTTTTTGCTACATTTTGCAGTCCATTTCTCACGAGATGAATTCGTTGCTTAACTGCACAGTTCATCGGTTCTCAGGTTAAACGTAAAAGCTGAGCTAAATGTCACCGCGTGCCGTTTAGCTCAGCCAAAATCTCTCGTGTGCGCCTGGCATAAGCTTTGCTTCTTGGTGTCCTAAAAACTACCTTCGGAAGCTAGGTAGAAAAAAAACAAACACAAATACAGAGAATTGTTGTTTTCTTATGGTTTGTGGTGACACATGCTATAGTTACTCCCACACGATTATCCAAGGTGCGACGCAACTGATTTCGCGATAAAAAATAAACGTTAACAATTATCATACGGTACCTGGTTTGGTGAAGTGCCACGCTACAACTGCAATGGTAATAACAATGACAATACCAACTGCAATCGCCCCTGCAATGATAAAACCTTTCTTTGATTTTGCAGTATCAACGCCTTTTCTTTTTCCGCTCGGTGTTTGACCAGCTGTGTTGAGTGTTGTAGGCATGCTACCAGAGAATCCTCTATTGACTGGAGCAACGCCAGTAGCCATCTTTATTCTTCTTCTAAGTTTCGCTCTTTATATTTGTGCGTTCCCTATTCGGGCGACTCTTGGAAGGAATAAACACAGAATAACGATGGTGACTTTATCTGCGGAACCACAGGGTGACCGCCTACATTGGTTTATGAGGGTCGGAGAGGTCACAGGGGTACAGAGAAACGAAAAGCCACGGGAAAGTACCGTATCGAGGAACCTGAGAAAAATTTCATATTTGTCATCTCTTAAGTATTTTGCGTGTTTTTGGCGATTTTCAAGTCTTACGGCGTCAGCTGAAAATCTTATTTCTTTAACTTGGGGTGTGGTTTTCAATATGTTTGTTTCACAAAGTATGGAATATCCCGAACTGAAAGAAATTGAAACCAAAAGACGTTTGTAATTATAATTTTGTAAAAAAATATTCTTCATATATTGAAGTTTAATTGATGGTTCCTTAAGTGAATCTTTGATCTGTAAATCTGTAAATATCAAGTCAATGCAGCTCTCAGAATTTTCAAGAAAATAGGTGGGCTCACCAACGAGTTGGCTCAGACCTAGGCTGTCAGTTAAATTATTCAATTCAATGTCTTCTGTGTTTTCGTTATTATCAAGCCACCATTTGCTGCATTTACAGTTAAGGTCCCCAGTGATATCCAAATGATTGATTGTAGGTAGTTTTTCTTGAATCGTGTAACGGACGGAGGAGTCTATTGACTAAGCCCTCCATTTCCTCCATTTTCAGTTTCGACCGAGTTCGCTGAGTCTCCGACATTCGCGGATATTAAAATTAGAATCTTATTCAAGACTGCAGAATACTTTCGGCAGTTATCTGGCTGTGTTACATTTTGGTTGGGTCAGCAGTAGAGACGTACGGCTGTTTACATCTCACTGTCTCTAGACTCAACAGCCACCATTTTGGCAAGCACGAATGAAAATTCTTACATTCAACTCTTGTTATTAAATTACGATCGCTCGTTGATTTTATAAGTGATTAATAAATGATTACAAAAAGTATTAACATCATTTTACGCTTGTTGAATTTGTGCAACTGTAACATAATGTATCTCCGCATTTGTATTAAAATTTGTAGCGGTTGATCTAACTATATATATATCTATGTTTTTGTTGTCTTGGCCTAAATGCATATGTAGAACAAATTAAAAATTGAATTATGGGAAGTACTAAACTGCTGATGCTAACAACAACATTTTTCTTCCTGTTTAGCAAATAACCAAACGAATTTTATTTCCAGGAATTTGCGCCGCAGCACTCACCTTTCAATGCTCTTCATGCCTACTAATATGACGTGTTTGTTATTACCAGTGAAGAAAGCCAATTCAAAATGCCGTTGAACTTTTCAATTTTCGATTCTTTGTAAGTAAATTTCTTTTGGGTGCTTTCATTGAAATAGGATCGAGGAAATCGACGAGAAAAGGAAATTGGGAATCGGAAATTGGAAAAAAATTCCTCATGGTTATGCCATGACTGTGAACTGAAAGGCAGAGGCTGTTTTTGTCATGTTTGCGTTACCAATTCAATCATAGGTCAACTAATAGCAATGATAATAAACGAACAGAAAGATCACCGTATGGCCCAAACCAAGCTCAACTAAATTCACATTTTTCATGAAATGACTCTTAATATGTAAAATCAGCTAAATACATTAAAGATTGGGCGAGATATGGCCTATGGAATATACAGGGACCAAATGTACAGAGACCAAACTACAGTCATTTGATGGGACTGTACTTATATGACAATATCACAGCCAATGCACTTTTAAACAAGCTGTTCTCGAGATAAAACACTAAAGAAGATGGATAAGAATGAAAAATCTACAAAATTTTGGATACCTTTGGTGACGAAATTTAAAATTTTGAATACCAGTAAACTCAGTATTTATACGTGGACACAGGTCCTTGGCAAGTTTGTGACCCAAATTCTCTCTCCAAGCTCTTTATGCAAATTAAGCGCGCGGATACCAAAAAGGTGTATTCAAAATACATTCAACTGATTTGGCATATTTAAAGGTATTCCACGATGCTTTCTCGATGAATATGATTGGAATAGAAATTAAAAATTCTGGGAAAATTTTGTGAAGTCATAACTAAAGAACGCTATTGTCCTTTGTTTCTTAGCCCCCTCTCTTTCTGTAAAAATATATGCAGCTGCGCCTACGGTTGGCAACCTAGCTTGCGTTGGGCCAGAGTCGGAGAATCTTTTTGGGTCAAGAATTCCATAGACTTTCTTTAAATGTGGGCGTATAATAATTCATAATAGTTTCTTTTATAACAGGAGCAAAGATTTCAGAATCAATATGTCTTAACTTAAGGTCAGGTTTACCTGTTCTAATGACGAAATCGTTCGTGCGTAAATTTTGCTTGAAACATATGGGCGGATGATAGGTTGCCTTCCGCTATTTAGGGTTGTGTTTCAATTCTGCAATGTGAAGAGCATTCTCGGGGCCCACGTCCTGAATTTAAAAGTGAAGGGAGGGCAAGGCTAACAAAAGTAGGGGGCCAAGGCTGCGTTCCCCTTATACTGCAGCTTTAAAACTACTTGCTTCGCAAAAAGTAGGGAACCATGACAACCCTGCCCTCCTTCGGTGGCGTGGGCCCTGTAGGAGCAGGAGCACAAAAGGAGAAAAATTTGTTGGGAAAGCTTTAGATAAAATTTTCTCACTAATCCCGTCAAAGAAGAAAAAGTTCGAATTTTGTGATAAACTTCAGCATCTGGACGAGGGTCGTGCATGGTGCGAAGGCGGATCTGCCTTTTCCGCAGAGAAAAATAAATTTTTCTAGGCAAAAATGGAATAAATTTTGTAGGCTACCATTCTATAAGTAACTGTGCTTAGTAAACTCTTAAATATGACCTCAGTTTTTACCAAAGAAGACATAGAGAAAAATGAAAATAGAAATTTGGTCTAAAATTGGTCATTGTGTAAGTTGTACAACGAGTAGGAGCTTGGATTAGGAAATTGATCGAGATAGCTGATCCAGAAAAACAAGGTGCGAACACCAAATGATGGAGAATTCAAATCCTTTTTTGTTTTTCTTTATTGCATAGTCTTTCATTTTTAGTTGACAGTGCTTCTGTTGATATTTCAATGTTAATGTTTTTGTTAAACCGTGATTCATTTATTTCTCCCCTCCATCTCATGTTGGTTCCTTCTAAATCAAAACAGGTTGATTACGAGTTACATAAAAAGGGTTGTTCTAAAAATTTGCAAGACCTTTCAGATTCAATGACAACATGACAACAGATAAGAATGTCACACAGTGATAAAAGAAAGCTTGAAAATATTGCCTCAGATTTTCCTTCAGTCAAAATCCATTTTAAATACAACTACTGTTTACCATGTTTTTTGTGCCACCAGCCACGCTGGTGGCCTTTCCCAAACCCCTTTAAAACTTTGATTTCTTGGCTACTCCACTTTCAAATACGTTTCACCGGTCCTGAGTGACATCGTATTTTTTCGAATTTGCTTTTCATGGATTTAAGGATCTAAGTTAAAAAATGCATCTAGCTCGACAGCATCGGTAGTCAAAACATCTGTTGCTGTATTTTTATTGGTTTACAGAAAACAAAGTGGATCGTTTGTTATAATGCCTTCGGTGTCGCTCGGCGTTTATTCAAGGTCAGGCTTATTTCTTTTCTTAGCACGGCTGTTAAATCTTTTCATTAATTTCAGCATCATGAAAATCATGAAAAACAGTACTGTAATAAGGTTTCACTTCTTCTTGCAATTTTCAAAATTGGTAGTAAGTACTGGTAGGAGATGATTGAAAATTTCAGTGATTTTGAGCCTCGATGTTCTTATAGACTATATTCTTTTGATTAAAAAAGTGTATAGTCAAGAACCTTTTGTGTTAGATACATTGTAAGTCAAGATTCTGAAATGCTTTACTCTGCCTTAATTATGGTTGGCAGAACCCCCTTTAAGTTGTAATTTCACAAAGGAAGAAATAACTACACAAGTACGTGGAGTGGAAATAAAAGTAATTCATAAAACAATGAAATGTTGACTGATTGGTGAATTCAGAACTGACCCCAACCCTCTGCATGCAACTTTTTTGCCAGATGGGGTAAGGAGAACTTCTCTATGAATTTGGCAAAGTTCAACATCTTCCCACAATCAACGTATGTATTGCTACACCAGTTCCTCTGGAGCATCTGGTATCTGCAGTGAACGAAAAATCAACAATGTAACATAAAAAAAGTCAGAAGAATGAAATGATAAAAACTGCTTTGATATATCAAGTATCTTTTTACGATTTAAGAATTCAGAGACAATTTTTCTTTACTCGAAGGAAAATGTAAAGGAAAGAGTTCTCGTAAAAACTGAATTTGCAGTATACTTCTCATGTTATATTATAATCAAAAGCAAAAAATCATTACAAATTAAGATTGCGGGATTTAAGAACTTTAGGAGCAAAAAAGTGCTTTTTTTTTAAAAAAAACCCTCCAATCCCAAGTTCTCTATAAATATTAAAAGTGCTCTGCTACGACTGCTGTGAGAAATTTATGATGATTACTTTCAATTATCAAATTTTTGCATATAATTTTACTGTTTTGGAATTTCATATCATCTTTATAATAAACAATGAAAGTTGCAGTTTTCCATACCGTGACGACAATATCAACTAGATCATCCAAAAGCTTCTGTTGAACTTTGGCCTGGTGAATATTAAATTCAAGAGTACCGAGCAAGGTGAGGTAGTCTTGGAAAAGTTCTCTTTCCCTGAAAACAATAGTAATGTGCAAGAATGAAAATTCATATATTTGGATAAATAGACTATGATTACCCTACCAGATGTAACAAAGTCAGTTCGAATCAGTTACAAATCGTTTGGGCCACTAAAAGGTCAGTTTTTCTTTTCTGCTCTCTTCACTGTTTTTCGCTGTCTTGCTAAAATATAAATGTGACTTTTTTAAAGGAACCATACTTTTTACAAAATAATCAAAATAAGAAAAGGAATGACAATTCCTCATCCACTTGAACACGTTCATTTGATGTCGAGTGACTGCCTCAGTTTTTACACTTTGCCTATGTCTTTGTTTGTGTCTGTAATAATCAATTCATTATTATTTTTTATCTCCAAGCATCTTAGGTTTGTCCAACATTGCTTTCTAATTGAAAAACAGAGGCAATCGCTCGCCACTTTCCAGCCCAACCAGAGCGTGCCTTGACAAAACTGAGAATTAAGCAAGGAAGAAAGAAATCGGAGTTTGGATGTGCTCACGATGAAAGATTTTTCGAAAATATCTCCGGACAGACTTGATGTTAGGAGATTGTTCTTACATGTAATGCTTGTCAAAATTGCTTTTGCATTTCACCTCAAGACTGGTCAACTGCTAGATCAAATAAACCCTCGAGATATTTCAAATAGTAATTCGGTTCGTAGTAATTCTGGTTGGAGTTTCTGCTTATATCCAGCATTGTTATAAATGAAATATTATTGAATTGATTGGGATTTCATTACAGATAGGTTCTATGATGGGACGGTATCGTGTTCTGTCAGGCAATAATATGAATCGTTGCAAACAATAAACGCCCCCATCTTTTAAGCGCCTCTCTCCAATAAATGCCCCCCCCCGCCCCAAATAGTCGTAAATATGAAATAAACACTTCCCTCTTTTAAACGCATCCCTCTAATAAACCCCCCAAAGGGGGCGTTCATTAGAACCCCTTACCACAGCTACGGAGGAAAAAAAGCTGTTTGTTTGTATATGATTTTTATTTATTCTTTAAAAGGAAACTTTCTATAAACATGTTTCTGTTATTTGATTACAGTACTCGTGTTTAGCATGATGAAAGAGGTTTTTTAATTTTTGAAATAAACGCCTCTCTCTAATAACCCCCCCCCCCCCATCAAAATTTAAAAAATTAGATAAACGCCCTGGGAGTTCCTTGGAGGATTTACGGTAATCAGAATGCTCTAGGATAAAATGAAGAGATATTTTTATATCACGTACCTTTTTGCATATTTTGAAGCTGGATAATAATCATCAATCGATTTTAAATTGTATTGCTCGGGCATTTCTGCTGTTTTCTTAGCTGAATGAAAATACCAAATCATGTTACACAAAGCGTTAAATATTTTTGTTTTCCATCATCCAATTCAAAGGTACAATATGGCAAAAACAAGTAAGATTTTCTTCAGAGATGCCTCTTAGAACAGAGTTTCTTCATTGTCAAAGCCTTCTACAAATCGGCCTAGATTATTTTAGTAGCAGATCTGTCGAAAAAGGCCCACTGGTAGTGGGTGGGGTCTGCCCAAGATACCAAATCACCCTGATTTTTTTGGGATATTGCGGGAATGTATCCAGTGCACCCTCTCTTCTGAATCTCTACTTGCCAGTATATCGAGAATCTAATATACTTCTAGTGCATTTTGTAATAGTAATATCCTCATTTCCTTAACTAGCCTTTTAATCGTCTAATTTATGACATACCTGAATTTAGGATATACACTTCAGCATGAGTTAGTTAAGAACTTTTCTTTTGACGATAAAGCAAAAGCATAATCGAAGTTTTCTTCATCTTGTTACACAACTTCAATAAAGGTCTTGCTACAAGATTTACGAATATGCTTTTTAAGAGGATTTTTATTAGCCCATTTATTCATCTGTCAGTTTTATTAGATTAGTTTATTAGTTTTGTTAGTTAATCATGATGGTTTTTAAACACTTTCAATAGGTTGTTAACAAGAATTTTTGTGCAACTGTAAAAGGTGATCAAACAGCTCTCCATTTGTGATTTATTAGTGAATTTACAAATTTGAACTAATCTCTAAACTTAAGAAATAAATTCAAGCCTCTAGCTTGAAAAAATTAGATTAACAAAACAATTTTGGTCTAAACTGACTTTATCTACTACGTTGAACTAAACTAGTATTTCTATAATGTCTTGTCTAGAATTCGTTTTGCTAATTGTCAGAACTTTGTCTACAGTAATTGACCAACAAGCCAAAACCGTTTTACAGCTATAAGAGTAAATGTCATTTCACTGTGTAACAAGGTAATTGCTCGCTAATAGAATAAGAAAAGCCAAGTTCAAAGGTTGATCAGAATATTTTTCATTACTGCCTACTGCATGCATCCTTACCTTGAGAATTATTTTCGTCATCTGAATCGGAATCACTGAAGAATTCATCATCAGATTGATCCGAATCTTCCAACTCCACCTGTTCATAGAAACATTTTTATTGCGAATTATTAACCCTGTAATTACAATAAAAAAGTTAACTCATGCAAGAAGTAACTCCTTGCGGATTTAACTACCTTCTCTCCTTTGCCAGTCCTAGTTTATTGAGGAAAACGAATGCAAATTTTCTGTCTAAAGAATTTACGCACATCTAAAACTTTACCTAAGAACACTCTGCATTATTGAAATATTGGTCCATTTTGCTAGGAATTGTTATAGCAATATCCACCCTATTGTGGTACCCTGTTATATTCCAGTCTTTCCCCAAATCGGCCCTTCGCTCCATTGTACATAAAGTTGTCAAGTGCTGACGTCACAAAAATCTATTTTTAGAATTTTTGAAATTTGTTTCCATAACCTGTAAGAGCGTCACGAAATACCTCAAAATCTGCACAATCAGTTGAAGGTATTAAGAATTGGTTGAGATATGACCAGCTTAGCACAAGCTCTGGTCCCATCAAACCTCTGTAATTTGGTCTCAGTTCATAACCTTATTAACTGAGCCAAAATAACAGTAATCTGTTAGCAAACTTCAAATCTTCTATTGGCCATAGCTCACCAGATTTTTGATAAATTTAGAGGCTTTCGCTTATTTTAGAGTATTTTATAGTGCTCTTTCATGTTATGTGGTCAAAATTCGAAAATTCTAAAAATAGTTTTTGTGACGTTACACTTGAGAACTCTATTTGCCTTTCATGCTTTTGACAGACATAGCAAAATTAACATCGTCTGACTTCAGTACCTTAATGATGTTCAGCAGGATAAAGTTTAAATTCATATAGCATAATGCTTATATCTTTAAAATTTCTCACTCTGAACAACGTTCTTTGATTTTGGCCACTATCGTTCTCCTTTCGTCTTCTTCCGCCTTCAACAGCAGTGAAAGCACGTTGAAAATTATCTACCAAGACCGCCACGAATAAACTATGGAAAAATAATCGAATATGCATGTAAAATTACTTTCCACTTAACGAGGCCCTGGAAGGGGATTTTTGTAACTTTGACGTATTTTTGCAAAAGGAGAATTAGTTTCAAACAAGTAACAGTTCTATGCTCAACGAGCTTCGGGTTAATATTAGGCTCAGAAGATGTTCAATGCAAATATAATTATCCGTATTCCTGCTAAGAAAAGAAAGTTCCTGTTCGCCTTTTCAAGCTACATATAGCGTAAACTACAAATGTTGCAATCAGAAACATAGGATAGGATTGTAAAAGATTTGCATTAGACCAAATATGTCCTTTGAAAGTAGGACAAAGTATCTTTATTTAAAACTTGTTACAATTTAAATTGAGACTAAGCACCCGTTAAAGATCTTATTTGTCGTGTTCAATACTACTTTCTCCAACTACTTTCAATTTTCTTTTCAAAATTTTAATTTTTTTTAATTAACTGAATGTGAGTAGAGTAATATCTAGACAAACGGTGACTTTAAATGTGCCATGTTAAATTTCAAACGTAATTGGTAGCAGTTTTCATAGGTAGCTTCACTCTTCACTAGCATACTTTCAAATGGCAACACTTTCGGAAACTGATTTTTACCCACAATCCTTTTTGGCAGCGCCAAATTCAGAGCAGAAAACAGTATTGTATAGGTCTCCCCTCAAATGATAATTGTTTCAACTCAACGAATGTGAACAATCTAAGTGCAACGTCTTTTATGGGTTATAACAAGCTGACAGTTGTTCAGCAATAGGTCAATATAGTTAACAAATTCCCGGAGTGTTCAGTACCTTTTATTTCAAAGAGGATATTCATTAATGACAGAAAATACGTTAAACAAGTTTAACATATAAACGATAATGTTTTGAGCAGCAGTAAAGGAAAATAAATTGCCAACTCACTTCATGAAAATAAAGTTTTCTAGCACAATGTACATGATCAAATAAACAATGATATAGCCATGACCTACAAATTAGAAACTCCGAATGTCAGTAATTCTTACTATGACTGAGCAAGTTACTGTTACAACATCTGTGAAAGGGGCGCACTTGGAATTAAATTTTTAGGGGTTAAAGCTTTATTTCCCGCACAATAAAATTTGGTGCTTTAGAAGCTGCGCCAAAGTGGCAGGGATGGCGCCTGAAAAGAAATGCTGTGGGGCGCTGTAATGGCAGAGTGTCGACAGTGAGTGAACCACCCAAAAAGATGTAATATAACACCATTTCCGCTGTGGTAATTCTAGCTCAAAAAAGGAAAAATAAATTGAAAAAAAAATCAAACGTTGAAAAAAATAAAAAATCACGAAGTGGAAGTTATGAAAGTGCTGAAATTGCTTAAAATTTTTCAAAAATTGAAGTGCCGACGGGGGGCTCAATGAATTTTTGGGGCCCCCTAAGCTCCCCCGGTGGCGCCATCCCTGCAAAGTGCCACGCCATATTATGATGTTTTTAAAAGAACAAGTGTTCAGCTTTCTATTTCCAGGTAATTGCAAATAGGATCAAAAACTTTAATATGACATTAGGGTGCAACTTCAGCTTTCTGTTGCAATTTGATCGAAGCTTGCCGCTAACCATTTTAAGGCAGGTACTGTCGGCGATAAAAATAACCCAACCTGGTTTTTCAGTGAGGACTTCACTGTATACTTCATACCAGTCATCTAGCGTTATCAATTGAAAGAGAGTGAAGAAGGATCTGCCCAGCGTTCCAAATCTGTTCTTTGCGACATCATGAAAAAGACCACGTCCAACTACAGCAAACATATCTGCGCTGAAAGGTTACGGAATGTCTTTAAAACAGGTTTCTCCTTCTAACATCAATTTATTCAACTTAAAACTACTTTGATTCCTTGATGCTTCCAGAATGATACAAAATAATTCGAGAAGCATAAAGCAGGGATGAGGTTTAAAAAGATAGAAGCTGTGACGTATGCAACGACTATGAAATTAGACCCTGATCACACTCTAGTTTTTTGAATTTGCGATGACAATGTACATATGTTGTTTATGCAAAATAATTTAAACTACTCAAAATGGAATACATCAAAGTTTATATTCAATTTAAAGACCCACTGTCAACCAACAAAGAAGCCTCTATAATTTATAGGGTCTTCTCTTGTTTATTAACATCGCGCCTTCTCAATTTCACGAATTTCTGTGTCAGAAAATAGAATTTGCGCAGTTACACCAGGAAGGTAAACATAACGAACACAAGAAGATGCTGGTGTCAGTTAGGGCGCCGTTTTCACGAATGCATGCTAACGTTTTCTAGAATGCATGCGAACTCCGCCATGTCAGATTCGGCTGAGAGAGACAAAATATTACAATTTGCAAAGTTTGGAAACAATTTGCATGATATAAGCTATGGGGATATATGAAAATGATTTTTGTTATCGGACATTCCATACAATCATGTCCTTGCGAATTACATGGAATTTGAAATCAATTTGAGAATGCCAGCGCTTCAAAAATAACAACTGCGCATTATTTATTTTCTGACACAGAAAATCATGAAATTGAGCAGGCGCAATGTTTATATACAAGAGAAGACCATGTAAAATATAGAAGCTTCTTTGTTGGTTGACAGTGGGTCTTTAAACAGCAATAACAACTAACGATGAAAGCGAAATAAGATGTTACTGAGCACGCTTAAAATTTTGATAACAGCACAACTGAGAAAGTCATTATGTCTCAAGGGATAGTCTGGCATATTTATATAAGGATTCCTCAGGGTAGCGTTTGTGTCTAGAATTTAAGTAAAAACGTACTTAAATTTCATATGGGGGATTAAGTCTCCCAGCCCTCTCCAAGGCAATGCTGTGTAGTCATTAAACAACATATTGGTAGCTAAAATTCAACATTATATAGCTTTTGAAGTAAACTCTTCTCAACGTTCAAATGCTGATGGCTCAGTATATCTTTTAGTTCATTTTTTTGCAATCAATCTGAATATACTACGTGACATTAATCTAACTATTCATTTTGGGGAAAGTTGACTTCACAAACTCTCCTTACTTGTACATTTTATTTCCTCTCTCAATATTACAAACTATTTCTTTCAACACTGAATACTTATTTCATTATGTAGGCTTTGTAAATTATTTGTCGAATGGATACAGAGAAAGAGCGTCTGTAGCATGACTATGGTACTAAGAGCCTTGAATGATTTTAGTACAGTTGTCAACACCACTTGAAGGTTCTTCAGAAACCTGTCAGGATAAAGCATAGTGGATTATGACAACAAATTCTTTAAATAGATACGCAAAAGTTTTGAAATTCAAGGAAAGCGTCAAGTTGAGAGAAACTTGACCACGCCCAGTTACTGAGGTCGCGTAACTCGAAAGACTTTTGCTGTATTACAGTCGTCTAATACTTTAAGAAACTAAGAGTTTTCTATATCTTTCATTGTTAGATTTCTGATAAGAACTCATGTTAAGCTAATAATGAAATTACGAAACATAGACAATTCTAAGGCGGCATTGAAATTAAACAAGGATCTTCCAATTGACCCCAAACAACTGTAAGAGATTTTACACCCTTGGTTTGAAATTCAGATATTTACAGTTCGAAAAAGGTGATTCTCACCGAATTGTTCTTAAAACTCTCAATGCCCTCAGTGCCCTTATGGCCCTGAACATTCTAAGAAGACGGAAGATGGCAGCTACATCGAAAATTCCAACGTTTTGTACAATTAGCGGCATCAGAAAATCCACTGTTGTGCAAAGAACGATCAGGAAATCTATAAATTAATTTTCTGATTAAAATTGGAAATAGAAATTGTCTGCGTTTTCTAATTTTGGTTAACTGTGGTAACATATCAGTTGATTTCTCAATCCATCTAAGAGTAATGATGCCTCGACATTCAACAGGCCTAGGAACAAAGCTAATCTTACGAGGTCTGTATGCCAGGGCAAAATATTAGTTTCATAGCTCTATGCTTTAAACAATACCTTTAATTTTTAATTAACATAGTTTCTTCCAATTGCTAAGGGAACTCAAAAGATAGATTTTTCTTGTTAGTCGCTCCAGAGTCCGGTCAATATCACATGATATCACATGGGTGCGGAGGAGGTAAAGGAAGTGGTTGCGGAGGAGAGGGGATTCTTTTTCCATTCCCGACTCAGATAAGATAAGATTTAAGCCTGGTTCACACACGTGAGATAACGATATTCTCATTGACTTTTCAGTGAACTTAACTGTTATCTGGCACTGGTGTGAATGCCTGAATTTTTCTCACTGAAGCATTTTCAGTGAGATAGTCAGTGAGAATATTTTTGTTCAGCGAGTCATTTTCCATTTATACTGTACTGTTTATAGTAGTATTAGATTTTTCCTTCTCAATCTTCAGCTGCCCTTTGAGGTTTGTCAAGATGGTGACTTACCCATAATGTTCCAGCCAGTTTTAAAGAATTTGAAGCCTATTCCATACAGTTTCATAACAAGTTCCACAATGTAGATCGACAGAAATACATTATCCAATGCTGCAAAATACCACCCTAAAAATAATCAATTTTCATTCTATATACTTCGAAATTTGAAAGCTAGACCTTCATTAAAAGCATTGTCAAAAATCTACTGTATTCAAGCAAATTTAAAAAGCAAAAAAATTCAAAAACGAATTAAAATTTCAAACTCATTTTATTCAATGATTCGGGAAAAACTATCCTTTAACAGATCTTTGATAGAAATCTAGACTTACCTCCCTTCATGACCAGACTTTCGCTTGTCTGCGCAACTAAAATGACTGTATTTAAGAGAATAACGAAAAGAATTGCTCCGCCAAAGGACTTTGACTCGGTTACTTCGTAAATAAAAATGCGAAAGTCACTAGCATTTTTCGGTAGATGAGGTGGCAACTTGAAGATTTTTTCTTCAGGTCTTTGAAGGTTGTCTTCGTCAGAAAATTGTTCAGTGAGTACAGAAGAAGCGTCATTTATTTTTCTTGACCGAAAAGTTCCTGTCTCGATGTTAGCCATATTTATTTTGTTTAGATTTACATCACAAGTTTCTGTAACCTCTTAAGTACGAGCTGGATTAATAGTGCTGACGTGATTGTAGAATTGTTTCCATATTCGAACGGTCGTTTCCAAGTCTCCACAACGTCACAAAACTTTGTGCCTAAGACCGTTAACCCCCTGAAAACTTTAAATAATATGTCTAATATCGTTAAGTTATCATTTAAAATGTAGTCATGTAGGCTGCACCCCCTAGCCCCCCCTCCGCCATTACACACCTGACCCGACCCCTGCTTTACGGCAAAACAGATAAAAATATTGATATACAGTAGTAAAATCTTGGCGTTATTTTTAAACTATTTACTACCAGAAAATGATTTTTACCGAATGGAAGCAAAATTTACCGAATGAGATTGAAATATTGAGGGGGAGGGAGGTGTCGCACCCCCTTGACCCTCGCTAAATCCGTCCCTGAACACGACTTATCCGTATCAAAGTGATCCGTAGCAGTGTAAACGGGGCCTCAATTCGACTAACGACTTTTCTAAAGTCGATAGATTTTCGTCGATGAAGTAAACTTTTTTTGAAGCTTAAAAGTTTGATTTTATAATTTCTTTTATAAATTTCTTTGTTATGCAAACGTGAAATTAAAAAGTTGTATTTGTTTGGACAGCTCTAAAATTTTTGGAAGGTCATGTGACTTTGTCATTGTTAGGCCATAAAATCTTTCTGCATATTTTGCTGTTATATATAATCAGGAAAATCGAAAGAATCCTGTGTTTTCGTCGTTATACTTCATAAGTTGAAGCATTTTCTTAACTTTTTATTCCATTTTGGGGAAACATAGGCCTAGATTATTTGTAGAAAGACTGCCAAAATCTGAAAAAGTTTCCGTTGCAAAACCTAATCCAACTCAACGCCATAATTCGTTTATCGAATTAGTCCCAATACTTTTTGAACGTAAGTGTAGAGTGTAGATAAGGTTTGACAACCTGTGACAGGGCTTTTGACTACCAGCTAGGTATTTGCTTGTCAGCTAGGTATTAAACAATTTTTTTGGAGGATTTTTGACATATTTTGTTTCAAAATCAATAAAAGCCTTTCCAAAAGCAAATATCGTGGGTTTATTTGTAAAATAACGACATATGAGGCAGGCTTGAATTTTTTGAGCTTGTACTACAAATTTTGCTTCTCCTACCCGCCTCCTACAGACACAATAGCAAGTGTGTGAGTGTCCGCATGAAAACTTCTGAATATATATCTAAACAGGAAAGTTTCGGAGGCCCTGGGGGAAATATGGAAAAACTTTCTGTGATCACACCTTTCAGATAAGCCTAAAATGCATTTGGCATAAATTTGCTATGTTACATAACATAGTCATATATAGGCATTAATTCCATTCTTTAAAAGGAATTCATTATTTTATGATAAGGCCCCCTAGCCATGGTGTAGACTTTACAAATACTGCATAAAATTTCAAAACCTGCAAGCAGGCTACCCTAGACCTCAGGGCCCTGGGACAATTTGCCCCCCCATGCCCCCTCTCGGCGGCCCTCCCTGGGACTAATGGCTGCTCAAACGAAAAGCTTCTAGAGCAGCTTTAGCATTAAATGCTCTTACTTAATGCTCACATAGTAAATGCTTTCAAACAAGCTATCAGTCATGTCAGTTAATTTAGGCCCCCTCACCAAGCCCCCGACTCAAAAAGCCCCCATTCTCTGAGCACAAGCCTAATAATGCTCCACTCTGTGAAGAATAACTCTTACAAAGTTTGCTTTTCTCTGCAATATTCTTTGCAATTGTGTAAAACTTTCTTTTTTCAGAGAATTTAATTATACAAACCGGCAATAAAGCGAAAAGCTACAAGCCAGCCCACTACGTTCATCTATTACATTAGCTTTCCTCTTACGTAAAAGTGTTTAGAGGGTATATCATAGACAATGATTATAGTCATTTTAATGTAATTTACTAATATTCATGTCCTTTTGCTTGTGTGATACTAATTGTATTGCTACAGCAAGATTTATTGTCAAAATCCAGTCTGTTTTCTGTTTGAACAAGAACTCTTGAGTAAGGTTTTTTGAGATGATGCCTGCCAGCAGGGGTGGTGCACATTCTTTCCACTCGAAGTACAATACTAACAGAAGGTGCATTAAAAACGAAAACTATTATATGTGGATGTGAACAAAAAATCTAAATTATTTCCTACTCACACTAGAGTTGCAGTATGGGGGGTGCTCATTGAGCAACAAGGTACATTCATTGGTTGATTAGCCACCAAGAAAAACATCGGTACCATCGACGAAGACAACAAGACGTTATTAAAATTGGGGAGAGGGTGGGTGTTTAGATTGTTTTTAAGTGTAGTGAATGCCGCCACCCTGGTTGGCGGCAAGACAAATTTTGAAAATACGACATTCTAGGAATGGCCAGAAAATGTATCTAAATTATCTACAACGTTAATTTAGACCAAAGGAAGATCTTGATAGGCAGAATTCGCAAGTTTTTTTCCAGTATTATGTCCCATGGTTTTATATTGATCGAGTTCGATATAAGGCTCGGAAAGAAGATGCCAAGCTTTATAGTAAACTTGAAATGGAACACGTTATAAAAATAAGGGTTGAGGTGGAAGGTGCTAGCATTACAGAATCTGAGAGACAGGATCAGAGCAGTTGACTCTAGAACTAACTGGGCTAGTCTATATAAAAGTCGGTTGAAAGTAGACGAAGAACATGCCACCAGGTTAAAGATCTACCAAAAGCTAAGGTGAGAGCTTTTTAAGCGGCAAAATCGTGTTTAAAATTTGTAATGTACTTAAATCTGCCAGTTGTATCCCTCTTCCTTTTCTGGTTTACTTGTCCAAGGCAGATCTGAGGTGGAGCAATGACCTTGTCACAGCTTTCTTCTTTTTACACGATTCCTGTCTGTATCAGAGTGCAATTGGTGACGGGGCCTGAGCCCCCCTGCTTTTCTCAAAAATTTTAACAAGAGGGGCTGCGCCCTCCTGAGCCCCCCACCACTACATCGCTGCCTGCCACTCTGCTATGTAGAATGCAATAAGGCCAAGAGGAAAGGAAATAATTGAATGATTGAAACCTGAACTTTGGTTTGTTCGTTATCTCCTCTCTCTTAGACCAATAATGAGAAAGATCTGAAGATACGTTTCTGGCTGTATCTCTATAGTCCATGGCTTCAAACACAGGTTGGAAAGTGGGGGGAGGAGGGGGGTTGTAGGGGGCAGGGAAAAATTTAACAGACATAACAAAAGATATCGAGTAAAGCTCTTTTGTTTCGCAGAAAAGTGTGAAGGCATGGCTCTGTGGTTTGTTGTCTGTATTGTCAGTCTTGATGAAAAACGTTTGACGTCAAAATAACTGTCCTTTATAGAAATTTCCTTTCAGATTTTTTTTAAGTTAAAGGTATGGAGCACATGCTATTGAGTCCTTGCTTAAAATGTATGTGAAGTTGTATTTTGTTTGTAAATTCTTTCCACAATGCTTCATGTCAATTCTAAGTCAATATCATATGCCATTTAACACATGTTAGGAAGTTCTGGAATGCTGAAAATAATCTCTAGAACACTTCGTAATGACTGTTAACCATGCCATGTGCAGAACATAAAGATACAAGTATGGTGAAAGTTCTAGTGTTAGAGCTTTTGAATGAAAGTAATTAATTTGCTGGGTTAGGAGTAGGGATGTCATATGGGATCATTAGGGTTGTATAGGAGTCTTATTTAAATTATTTGCAAGAAAACACAATGCACACAGAAATATCTTTTATGAAGTTTTTCCAACTCTGAGACATGTATGAGTGAAACAAATATTATTGAATAGCATGCTCATCTACCATGTTGCGAAAGTATTGTCTAAGCATGGCAAAATTATTGGCAGCACTCACAGTTTCCCACATCTCTAGCATGACATCGTTGGTTCTGTATCGTAAATGAACTTAAGCGCCCAGAGCTTTAGCGCCCAGAGCTTTAGCGCCAATTTATATATTTTCTCTCAAGAACGCCACGGGGTTTATTACAAACTTCAAATTTTGGATGCGGCGTTCAATAGAGGGCGGCGTTTATCAGGTGGCGGCGTTCAAGGGGTTTTGACCTCTTTTAGATGTTGTCCTTGGCAGTTGTGTCTTCTGTGTCCCTGTGGATGGCCTAAGTTTTGAGAGAGAAATATGAACAACTTTTGAAGATGCATTCTTAGGAAGAGTTCATGAATGGTCAAATCAACAACTTGCATGCTTGTAGTCCATAAGTGGCTGAACTTCACTTCGAGCCAATCAAGGCCTAGTCATAGTTACAATGCAGGAACAATTTCGGCTCATTGCAGATGATTTGCAGCGCATCAGAGTGGGCATAAAAGGGAATCCATTTGTTGTGGACGAACTTAAGAGTGGGTGAGTTTTGGCCTTGTGCTTTATCCATGCTCATCTTACCAAATATTTTTTGTGTGAGGAGCCCATCACTAATACGCAGCTCCCCTATTTTGGTTAATTTTTTCTATTCTTTTATCACCTGGCAGCATATGTAGAGTAGGAGCATAGATTATAGCTTCCAATTGCAGCTTGACTCCCGAGGAGTTTTTGCAAAAATTACGAGTGCTGTTATTAACAGTGCTTCCACTATTCAAATTTAAATTTCCTTAAAGCGAGGCTGAAATTCTTTAAAATTCCTTAAACAGGAATTCTATTTTCTTTGAATATTTTCTTGTTAGTTTTATCCCAAAGATTGGTCATGCCATGACCAACAGTTAGTATGCATCTACAAATTTTGAACGATTAATGAATAATTCATTTATTTTTTGTTTTAAATGGCCATTTGAATGCTAAGGTTGAAACAGTCAAATAATCATCATAAATTATAAAACTTGAAAAGGGGATCCTCTAGCCACGTATTCCAAAATTTCTGCTAGTATCTTTTTCTCTTTCCTGTTTCTAAAGCTGCACTTTTACCGTCAAAAATTTCGCTTCATCGTGACGATAGATCAACTGGAAATGAAGTTTTAAGTCCAACTGTTTTAGCCCAAAGAAACGATCTGACATATTCAAAAGTACGGAAAAAGTTATTCAAAAAATCTTGTTTCCTTTACAATCGGTGATGGGTCATAATAGCTCTAACGGCTCTATAATTGCAACCTTCAGATATAAGAAAATCAGCAACTGACAACCTCTTGGGTCATCATTAAGACAATTCTACCGTAACATTTTTGTTGCTAACGCATAAGACGCTATATCTTCGCTGTTAGATTACAGATTGCACATCTGAAAAAACAAACATTGAAAATATTTTGAGCTTTTGGAAAAAAGTTATACTCTAAAAATTGCTTGAATCTTGAAATTCCTTAATTAATTCCTTAAATCTTGTAATTCCTTAAAAAAATCCTTGTGGCGTCAAAAAATCCTTGTTCTAAGGAAAATTCCTTAAAAGTGGAGACACTGGTCTTTAAACCCAAAAGATGGGCGTGGTTTTGGGTGTGGCTCGAATTAAACTGTGTTTTCAAGTATGGCAAAATGACTTCCTAAATCTGTTCGCAACTGAGATTAGAAAAAGTATCAGTGGCGGATACAGAATGGTAAACTACTCAGCAGTTTAGGGGGTCTCCCTCATGGTCAAGCGCGGAGCCATGACGGTGGCCCAGTCCCTGTGAACCCAAGCAGCTAGGTCTTATTTTAAAAGCAAAAAACCTGAAGTTTACCATGTCAATTATTTCAAGCATTATAAATAAAAAAAATAATTTCACCTTGCTCAAGAAAGTCATGTTAATTTTTGGTTTGAAATATTATTTCCATGCCTGGTAAGCGATCAAGGTGGAAATGTGATTTGTCCTGCCAAACAAGAGTGATATACTTTGATTGATGAAAGGCCTGAATTGGACGTCCTTCTCTTTAGGAGCTGGAGTTATGACACCACCAGCGGTTCATAGGTCTTGCAGTAATTCAGAAGGTAATGCCAGGACTGGGGAATTTTTTCAATTTGTAGCCAGCTCTGAAATGTTCATTTCATCAAAAGCTTCAACCCTTTTAAAGTTTTCCAAATTCTCCAGCAAATCCATAAGGCAGTTGAAATTATCTTGAGGTCAAGGAGTGTACAACCCCTGTGTACCTCTTCCATATAGATAAAGGAAATTGGGATTCTTCTCCTTCACAACTTCCAACCTTAACCTCTTTCTCCGTTGCCAGCAGTTGTTGCAAAGAGGTACCATTTCATGCAAAGAGATTCCTATGCATTACAAAGAATGCAAACTGGCTCCAAAGGTCATGTAAGTGGCAGAGCAGCTCATACTTGAAACAGCTTAATGCTTGAAAAGAGGCAAGAAAGACAGAGTAATAAGTGAAGGTGTTGAATGCAGGTCACCGCTCAATTTGTGAGGTCAAATAGTAGCCATTTGTGTATTTTGTACAAATTTGTTCTTGTAGGTCACTTTTGCCTGAAGAAGGCTGTGACAGATTTAATTTGTCATTCCAGCTTGCTGAAAATACCATCAAATGTGAGTTTAGTTTTTGTCAGTTGATTGCTTAAGAGGGACTTAGTAAAAATACCCCTTAAATTCTTTCTCATGGTTTTGGAAAGCTGCTCAGTGACTGGCTAAAGTTTCACAATAGCCACCATCAGTTAATGACATTAAATTGTTTTATTTTTAAAAGAACTTTTCATTGACACTGGTGCAGATATCTTTTCTTTTTAGATTAAAGTCTATCTAGATTAAAGATGATATGATGGTGTAACAATTGACTGATTTTCACTTTCATGCAATATGATCAAATTGCATTTTTTATCATGGCTATGCATATGCGCCTTAGTTAAAATTTATTGAAAGCTCTCTATTTCCATAACAGGGGAAGTTATTTTTGATAGAAACGAGCCAAATTTGCCTCCTGATGTTGTGTTTGGTCCTGATGATGAAGACTTTTGTCCTGATCTTAATAAGCTTAAAGTAGGTTTTCTATTATGTTATTTCTTACTTTTACTCAACATGGTTGCTACATTTATTTGCTCAAGTTTTGTTTTGCATGATATTAAGAAGCTTTTATAGAAAAAGGCAAACAAATTCTGTTAGATGGTGTTAGTTTTGTTACCAATTTGGCATGTTAGTTTTTTTCAGATTTATTTGGTAGCTTCAAAACACACCAACTGTAAAATATTTTTGAGGTTACACAGACATTGTAAATACAGGGAAAGGTAAAGAATATAATACAGGCACATTTTGAGAGTAAAATGCCACTGATGCAAAAGAATGATTTTTTATATGAAGTATTAGAAGAATTAAAATAACAGGGTTCTAGATTGATGATGTCTCAAAAATCTAGTTTAATTGTTGTTTTTGAATTTGGGTCACATAACCTTAAAGTTTATCATGGAATATCTTTAATTGTGCAAAGACAGGTAAATATGTTAAAATCAGCTGAAGTATGGCCACTTAAACACAGTCTCTTTTCCCAAATCCTGTAGTTTAGTCTCTGTTCATGACTTTATGAACTATGCCAATTAACAGCTAACAGTTAGCAAATGTCAACCATTTCATTGCCCATATCTTACCGAATTATGAATAAATTCAGCTGATTTTCTATATCTAAAGTTATTTTGTGTTCTTTTAGGTTATTTGTTCAAAAGGAAAAAAATCTAGAAATATACTTTTTATTAATGTCACATTTTAGAGCTCTGTTTTTGTTCATTTAAATAGCATTTAAATTTTGTCGAGAAAATTATGCCTTTTAGGATTGGGATCCCTCATGACAGCTCAAACCATAGAGCATAGGGCTAGCCAGGTCAACCACCACATGACCCAGGCTCTGAAAGGGGCCTCTAAAAAAATGTTGTCAAAGGGTATTTCCCAACTAGAAAAAGTGTAACTCCATAAACATTAGGGGCAAGCCCTGTTCTTAGCCCCAAAACTTTAGATAACATTGTTTGGCTCATTCCCTTTTACTTCAGGGTTACTATGATTGGGACTACACTTCAGAAACATGTTTATCTGACATGTTAAGTAGTCTTTTTGGTCACTATGTCCATCATCAGAGGCATGGCATTTCGACACTCCCCGTTTTGAGTGAACAATGGAAGGAACTTTGTGAAACCAGCAACTACACAGCAAAGTGTGAAACATATCACAGTACAAATGGTTTTGGTGTGAGTATTTTCGACACATTCTTTCTGACACTTACCAATTGTCATAGCAAATAGACGAGGGATGGGTTTAGATATTTGGTCATTTAGCATTAGAGGATATCAAATTTCAAAAATGCACTTATTGCTGCCTGAATTTGACATGTATCAAGATGTCTTATTGCAACCACACATCTTGAGGCTTATTGCTCCTACCTGGTTCTAGGTAGTGATTTCCCACAAATTGTGATTTGCCAACATAATCCTACCAATTCGAAAACGAACAACTGAATGAGCATATATTATCTTGGTCAATCATAAATGCTACAGCCTTTTATGCGTGGATCCTGCACGATTTCCATTTTGAAAATTTGACGTTTTTTTTAATGTTGGTAGTAGGTACACTGACACAGATCTTCATGTTTTTTCTTTAATAAATATTCATGTCATCGTTTGCATATTTAGTTCATTTTTTATGATTGTAGTATGAAATAACGTTCATTGCAAAGTCTTGCAAACAGGCTTTTCTTTGATAATATGTTTAATTTGTTTAGTACCTAAATTTCATAGGCAGCTTTATGGTTTCCTAAATATATGACATTACAATAACTGTGATTTTGTCTTTTAGACCCATAACGCTTCAGCATCTTTCTTATTTGAATTCATAATAGACACATCACGTCTTCCACCCTATTTAATCAAGGTAGGTGGTTTTTATAACGATGAAATCAAAGCCTTCTGCTACCTTGCCAAGTATTGCAAAAAATTTTTTCTATCTTCATTAATAAGTTAAGATTTTATTTTCTCTAGATTTTCTATTATCTGATTTTGTCTTATATCAGAGTGTATCAGAATGTATGACCTCAAAATGTATGACAGCAGAATGTATGACAGCAGGATGTATGACATCATAATTTATGGTCCCTATCAGTTATGTTTATATCTATGTTGAATTAATGGAAATTACTTTTTACCGGTCTGTCATGAAGTGCTTGATACTGTATAGGCAGAGTTGTACATGCTATTTGGTTTATAGAACAGAACAGTTCTAAATTGCTGCTCCGAGTTCCATGCTTAGTGCGATCATCAGGCAATTTTTTGCATGTTCCATGTTCTTTGATGAAATATTTTTTTTCTGCTATTATCCAGATTTCTATTTATCAGAGATGAATTAAAAGGGAATTAGAATATTTAGAATATATTAAGTCATCATTTAGTCTCAAAAGTTTTGAATTGTATTACACATTTTTATGTCATAGTTTTGATAAATTGTGATTTCTTTTAGGAAAATCTCGGAGAAGATAGTGCAGCACTGCATATTTCCTTTCAGCCTCCAAACTTTTCAAAAATTACTCCACAGCTTTACCTATCTCCAAGGTTAAGGAAGTAAGAGCTAAACGCAATTACGAATTTTTTCATTAAAGATTTTTACTTGCTGTGAGCTTCAGCCATAAGCTAATGATAATGCAACATCTTTAACTTATTTGAAAGATATATTTCTTGATCTAGTGCCCAAAATGAACCGTTTGATATTCCTGAACTTCCAATAAACTACTCTCTTGACGGTATTTCGTAACTTTGAATTTCAATGTCCTTTACAACAGGGCATGAAAAAAATTTTCCTTCCTGCAACCAGACAAAAATCATGCATAAAATCCCTGCGAGAATGGGAAGCCAAAAACCGTAATGATGTGTCACCAGTTTTATGAAATAAAAAAGTTTAAGCAAGTTTGTTATCACTTCAAATTCATTTTTGTGTTTTGCTGACTGAAAATTATTCTTTTTTCGGCGAAGGCCTAAATTGATCTGGAGTAGGGGTTTAACTATAATATTTCCCTCGAAACTGGTAAGAATATTTACAACCAGGTTGTTAAATTTGCTAGAATACAGGTGGAGAAGTACAAATTGAGATCAAATTGGGGGTAGCTGTTATCTTTGGGTGATTGGGGCAGGCATTAGCATAAACAACATTAAAAATGAGCCGAAAATGGTTGATCATATGATGTTCTTGTATCCATGGAAGTTTTAAAAAAACTTTTTGATGAAGATTTTGGTCAGAACCCTGAGAAGAAATCAATTGTGAAAAACATTTTAAGAGAAAATTTGCTTTAATCAGTAAAAATCACCGTTATAGGTAATATATAGTAGAGGCCTTGCACGCATCAGCAAAGCAAAAACTTGCAGAATTTTCAAGAGTTCTGCAAACTATTACAAAGATTCTAAAGCCTGATGAAACCTGTAAACTTTTATAGAACAAGAATTTTTAAAACATTCTGCAGGATTCTTAGGTAGAAAGCCCATTTTAACCTGTACAAGGTACATATATAAGATACATTTTGTTTTGTCTTTGTGTTTTTTTCTTTTGATGAACATGAAAGCGACAAAGGTGCTTTTTGCAAAAAAGTATATTTCAAAAAAATTCCTGGAAAATTTTATTCATGGAAAATTTCCTGCGACCGCCCGGTCACATGGTCGGATGGGTTTTCATGCTCTGCTTTACAATTTCAGCGCTGTTGGTGGATCTTCGTCGTTGAGGCTACCACATTATGGCTCTTCAGATCTGAAATCATACATTGAAAAGATTGACGTACTTCTCGCCAGCACGGTAACCTTATGTCCACTTTTAGTTTCTTTTCTAAATTAAAGCTAAGAGAATGCTTTTCAACTATACGTACCTCTATGTGGCGACGAAGCGATTACATCTTAATGTATAATCTGAAAGAGCTAAAAATTACTGTTTTCCCAGTTCTTCCATATAGTGTTCCATGCTGAGAAGGCAGGGCTGTACACTCTTTTACAGGAAATGATTTGATAGTATTAACGCGATTACTCATACTTTGCTAGGTACGATTTCCTTTATCGATCAACCCTTGAATTTTGTCCGTAAATTTTGTGTTGAAAATTCGTAACCTTGGAAGATTGATTTTTTATTCAATAATCAGTTATTTTGGATTATCCAAATAGGTTATCGGGTATAGTCTGTTATTGTCTATAATAAGAAAGATTATGGAAGAATTCTTTTGAAGTTTAGCGTTCAATGCTTTTCAGATTATTGAGAAAGTATTCGAGTTTTTATCAAAGCGTTATTCGAGTAGGAAAGAGTTTTCACCAATACCGTTTCGTTGGATGAAGAGCTCGAAAAGCTGCGCTTTTCACAAATCAGATCCACAACTGGCAGCTCTCTTGTGTACATCAATTTTTTCTTTCAGAGAACATGTAATTCCCCAACCGTCATTCATATTTAATGCCCATCTTTATATTAATAAGGGGGTTAAATTTGTCTTGTTTTGCAGACACTGTTAATTACATTTGATTCTTTGTCAATTCTGACCGTTGGAATTCATTAGAAATTCAGGTGTTAGGAATTTATTTGTTTGTTCTATCTTTATGACTGAAAAAAGTCTAGGGTTTGGTACAATGGTGATGCTCACGTATAGTTGGACCAAAGCCACTGTCAATTGTTTTTGAACTACTTTATGCAAAAATTTTTAGGTAATATTTCTGCTCGATGCTCGGTTCGGTGAAGGTTTCATATTTTTCGAAACTTCATGCTACAAAGATAATAATAGTTTTGCTTTTATGCCAAAAGTAACCTTGAATTAATGCATCTCACTATGATGATGAGAAAAATTACAAGTGTATTCCTCAAATCTTATTCAAGGTATACTTGTATAACCTCAATATGACGGAGTTGTGCGGGACTAATATTTATTGTATGGTTGTATACATCTTTCAGAGTACTTACATAAAGCTTTCATAGCAACAAAAAAATTTAGTAGAAAATTATTTGTCTGTTGTTGGACAGGATTGCTACTGGGGGTAGAGGATTTCGATATTTCATGTTATAAATTTAATTGAATTTCTATTTTTCTTCTTATCTCTTTTGTAGGTGAGAGATATTTCAGAACGTTTTGAAAGAAGGAAAATATTAGTTGCAAAAATATTATCTGAGTTTCACGGGTATGCATTATTAGTACTGTATCTTATTTCTAGTGAATGTTCATACAAAACATGTCAATGTGTCAATCAATCGATCCATTGCCTTTGTAAAAATAAGGTGCTAAATTGATAATTCAGTATTTTAGAGATTGCGTCTTTTAAGTTTATCGTTAAAGTCATGTAGTCCTAACTGGACATTTTCTAGCATTTGTATACTGCTAAAAATTTCCTGGCTGACCAGTTTTGTCAAAATTGACATATCAACCGATGAACAGCCAATCAAATCATCAGTTTTGATTTTTAACCAATAAAAACGAGAGGCATTATATCAACAATAAACGAATTTTGTGCTTTCCTTTGTATCTTTTGTTAAAGAACTTGAAGTGAAATTGATTGGTTAAAATTACTTAGTGTTATATGGACCAGATCTTAGTGTCGAATGAAGATGCAAGATGGGTTTTTTCTCCTGGTTTTGAAGAATGCATTTACTATATACCAGAAGCTTTGTCGAATGTAATCTTGATAAATTGTTGCAAACAGCAGATTGATTAAGGATGCAAAGTGTATTTCTATCAAAACGTTCTTCTTATTGCCTAATTTTAGTATATTGCGGGTCTGCTAGAATATTGATTTTTGATACTGTGCTTTTGGAGTCGTCTGATCATTTAACTTTCCTATTTAAAAAATTCCTAAGCAGTCCATTGCATAGCGATGTCTCAGTTTGTCCAGCACGCTTTTTATTTCGATCTTTCTTTTCCAGTGCTGTTATTGAATACGATGCGTCAGGTTTCAAAGAGATTTCCCTGTTGCTTAGCCATTGCAATATATTTTTTATTCTATACGGTTTGTATTACATTTTGTATCAATATTGATATAATAAGATTAGTGAGTCAATACACATTACATGATCTATGTATTATGGCAATTTACTTTATAAACAATATAATGTTATTTCAAATTTCGTAATTTTTCATTATATTATTTCAAAAGATATAAAATGATATCAAATTATAATTTTTTATTATATTGCATTATATTATATTGTAAAATATCATTTCATATTATATTATATTATATTATATTATATTATATATATATATTATATTATATATATATATTATATATATATAATTATATTATATTATATTATATTATATTATTATATTATCATATATATTATAGTATATTTATATTATATATATTATTATATGATATTATATTATAATATTATATATATATAATATATTATATTATATTATATTATATTATATTATATTACATTACATTACATTACATTACACTACATTATATTACACTACATTACATTACACTACATTACATTACATTACATTACATTACATTACATTACATTACATTAAATTACATTACAATACATTACATTACATTACATTACATTACATTACATTACACTACACTACACTACATTACATTACATTACATTACATTACATCACATCACCTCACATCACATCACATCACATCACATCACATCACATCACATCACATTATATTATATTATATTATATTATATTATATTATATTATATTACATTATATTGCATTACATTACATTACATTACATTACATTACATTACATTACACTACATTACATTACACTACATTACATTACACTACATTACATTACACTACATTACATTACATTACATTACATTACATTAAATTACATTACATTACATTACATTACATCACATCACATCACATCACATCACATCACATCACATCACATCACATCACATCACATCACATCACATCACATCACATCACATCACATCACATCACATCACATCACATCACATCACATTACATTACATTATATTATATTATATTATATTATATTATATTATATTATATTATATTATATTATATTATATTATATTTTATATTATTGCCTATATTGTAATGCCCATATTGTATATTGTATGTATTGTATTGTATTGTATTGTATTGTATTTTCTTGCAGAATATATGTTTATAATTAATATCAAAGTATTTCATTATATTACATGATGTTGCATGTTTCTAGTTTCATATTCAAAGAGTGGAAGATGGTTAAACTAAACATAACTTTGTAAGAATATGAAGAAGGGAGACATTCTTGCATGCCTTTGAGCGAAAGCTCTATATAATATGCATAAATAGTCTTAGGACTGAAACTGACAATTTTTTCTGGCGTTCTTTTAGTTGTACTTGGAGACCGCTTTCCAGAGTCGCCTCCTGTTCTAGTCGTACAATCAACGTACCATATGTCGGATAAAGGACCGTATCGGCAAACGTATAAAGAATACCCGTACAGTCCACGCTGGGATTCAATAGAGATAGTTGAAGCCATAAGGTGGGTCTCTTGGTAAATCATATTGTTATGGATATTCGTCGTAAAATCATGTCGTTCTGGAAATCGGCGAAAGGAGAGTGATTTGGATTTCATTTTAATACTGCAGATTTGGGGATACAGATACATGGGGTACAGAAAAGAGAAGAGAGACAGTGCTCTTCTTCTCACCGTCTAATAAGCAACACTAGAAAATCTTCTTTAAAAATGAAAGGAAAATTAGGCCTAATCTTTTGATTTTGATACTCTTCTTTGTTGTTGTCAGCCTCCTGATATTTCATTTTATCCATAAAAATACATTCTCCCATAAAGTTAATGGCATAAGAATCTGCCATTAAATACCAGCCACCAATTTACATCATTTAAATCACTATCTCCTCTCAAAATCTTCGCCACGAAACTATTTACCAGTTTTTGACTGCAAAAATTCTCTCCCCAAGCTGCATTTTAGTCTCTTTTCTCAGAATTTTGATATATTTGCAACCCTCTTAGTTTCATTTTTTTATTGCATTGTATTGTGTTGTATTGTATTGTATTGTATTGTATTGTATTGTATTCTATTGTATTCTATTGTATTCTATTGTATTCTATTGTATTCTATTGTATTATATTGTATTCTATTGTATTCTATTGTATTCTATTGTATTCTATTGTATTGTAACACTCAAAGACCGTGATTGAATCCAAGATATCAATCTAGACAATAATACTATATTAGAAAGGAGAAGGGCACCGAGACTCGATTTGCCAGAAAAACAAAAACAGCGTAAGATCACGCCCAGGTTAAAATAAAGGAATTGTCAGCTAATAAACATTGCTACTAAAAATTTTATGGAAAACTATTAGACACAAATATTAATTGTAGATATAGCACGGAATATCAACATTAAGAACATTCGAGTCTTAATCATCCAAATATTCGAGACTTGACAAAAGTTATATGGCTCTTGTGGAGAAGAAAGTGATATTTTGACCAGCGATATGGGGTCTTGGGGCCTGAGATGCTAATGGCCCCAGTAATTTCCTAAGATTGATCTGCGAGTCACTACACCAGATAGCACGTTAGTGGCGGAACATTTATTTTAACCCCCTCCCTATTCACAACTCACAACCCTGATGTCCCATTCTCTGAGTTTGTGTAGCAAATTGGTATTTCTCTTTTCAACAGAAAATTCTTAAACAGAATGATTCCAGAATTCAAGAAAGAGTCATTTCGAATTGGACTGTAAAGCCACTGGTTGCCAGTTACTGTACAGGATCTGGGAAATAGCATTAAATTCAGCAGACTCAAAGGATAAAGTACTTTTCAATTACGAAATTTATTGCAACTAAAATCACTAATATACGAGCTCCTGTCTGCATTTATAATACCCAATTCTTGCTTAAGTTTTAGGTCTTTTTTTCCTCCAGGTACAATTTTATACATAATTACATTTAAGATTTTATTGCTTTCATGCACATAGCAGATTCAAGCAACAAGCAATTTTGCATATTCCTGTGTCAGTGTTTCTTTTTTTTTGTTTAATCTTTGAGGAGATTTGTAGATCTTCTGGGAAATTGAAATAACTCCTTGAAGTATTGCTAAAGTTCAGGTTGCAAATACCATTTTGTATATCTATGCTGCCTGTGGTACCTCAACCAAATAACGATAATATAATGAGCAAATAAATTAAGTACCGAAAAAATAAACTGTTAAAAACACGATGTTTCGAGATTTTTGGAACTTACTATGTTTGCTCATTATATTTTCACCATTTTGCATAATATGCTTTCAGTTTTTGTCAGACAGCAAGGATATACAGTGAGGAAAAATTTTCAACTTTTGTTTTATTTCATGGGAAAAACTATTACATCAACAACTTTTCTCTGACAATGGATTGAAATGATTAATAGCATGGATGAAGTCCCTTGGATAGAAAAAAGGGGGATTTTGCAAATTAATTCCAATGAAAATAACTCTTTTATGTGGGGTTTATTTGGACATTACCCGCGATTTCATATTCTTAAGCTACTTAAAAAATTTAAAAAGTACCTTTAAAGCAGGTCCACTTCTACAATCTAATATAATTGTTTTTTATGTCAAAATTTTTAGACTTCTTGCCAAGCTAGTGCCTTTTTGATTATTTCAATATTGTTTGATTACAGCCTTCTTGTCATTTGCTTTTAATTTTGATTTACTAAATTTTTATAAATTACTAATTATTTTATCACCCTGTGATTTTTAATAGCTTTTGATTTCTTGAAATTAACATATTATTACGTGAAAACCATGATTTTTCGATTATTTCATGACGATTTTAGAGGTAGGGATATTTGTCAGATTATGTTCATCTGCGCATCTGGGCCTATCATAGGCACTCATGGGGCAAACCCCTGTGGTAGGGGGGTAGGGAATTTGTAGGGATTAAGGGAAATTTACGGGAAAACTGGATATTATAAGGGAAAATAAGTTATTTGTAGGGGAAATCCAAGTAGGGGGAATTTTGCCCTGATCATAGGGGGAAGTAGGAGATTTGAGCGTGCACTGTAGGGGAAGCCCACTGATCTCCAGCATCCTCTGCGTGGCAGCCCTGGTGGCCTAGTCAAGTGATTTGGTGGCCTAGCTAAGTAAGAGAGGTAGTTCTGTCTTTTGGTTAGAAAGTAAACCAGCTTTTGGATTATTTGACTGCGAACATGAATTCTGAATTGTTAAAAGAATATCAAGCCTTCCACAAAAAGAGCTTATCAACTCCAAGTGTTGAATCGACGAAGAAGAAACCTTCTGAAAAAGGAGGCAAGTCATCAGGAATTGGCGAACGAGCTAAAAGGCCCCCGAAAAGGCAGCTTCCACCACAGCTTCTGCAACAGAGTAAAAAGCAAGCACAGAATTCCTCGTTTAGCTACAAATCTTCAAATGTGGTTAGGTCAAAAAAGAGGTTTTCTATCCTCGCGTCAATTGTTGACTTGATGAGGAAAAGGTAAATTTCTAATCGTGGGACAGCTTTGACTTTCTTCTATTTACACTTGGTGAGCAAAATTATTGCACCACCCACCACAAAATCGCAGCACCGCAGCAGACTTTTTATAGCAAACCAAAATTCAAATAGCTAATACAAGTTAAATAAAAGTTTCAAGTTGACTGCTAGGGTGGAAATTAATGAAAAATTTATCAAGGTATAGTAGGTAGGATTGAAATTGAAAAATGCAAAAATGTTTTTTGTTTCCTTTTACGTTAAAGTTACCGTAAAGGCTCTATTAAGTCCCTGGGGGGCTTATTTAACTTCTTCAGTCTAAGAGGGGGCTTAAAAGAGAGAGGGGCTTATTAGAGAGAGGGGGTTTATAAAAATATGAAGCAAAAAAGTTTTAAAAATACCCTTAGCCATTTTTCAATATGAAGATGTCATACAAATGTTCTCAAAAGCCTCTGCTGTCAGCTCCGAAAATCTAATAAATCAATAAAAAATAATCAATTATAAGGTCCTCATCTTCATCAACATCACCAGGGTAAATTGATAACCCTTGAACATCTTCAAAACATATTTCGACTGACCACCTAGTCGCATAAGTTAGTCTTTACTTAGGCCCTATTCAATGCACACGATCTTATAATCACCATACCCATCCAGAGACCCACTAAATGCACATGATTTATATGCTTCACAATCAAAGGCTAAAGAGGGGGCCTCAATAGAGAGGAGGCTCAATAGAGAGGGGGTTTAATAGAGAGGGGGCTCAATAGAGCTTTTACGGTATATCAACCATTACTATATTTGCAATAAGAAAGGCTTTTCTTTGCACAAATCTGTAAGATTTCATTTTAGAGAACTCACAGATACTTACTTTCTGCTTAGGTGCCCAAAACTGTTAATTTTCCTCTCTGTTATCAAAGTACTTGTCAAAAGTCTAGGTCATTGGTTTTTCATACTACAAAGGGCCTAATTTTGTATACTATTTCATAACATGTTGCAACTGAACTCAATCAATAAAACATGTAAGTAGTCTCTAACTCCATCTTTTCCAGCCAATTATAATGTTGTTTAGGGACGAAATAATACTGTAAATTGCTCAAAACAGTATTTTCTCTCGGCTTTGAATGAAAATGCAAAAATCTCTGCAATAAACAGTCGTAAACAGTGCCATGCATGTGCCTGAAGAGTCATCATTAAAAGACGGTTGTAAAAGTGTCACTTTTTGCTAAATTCAAGGCTAATAATGATCTTCTGGAATAACAAACACCTAAATGTGATCTTGCCAAAGTTTGATTAAAGTTTATCATGTGGTGTTCAAAAGTAACCTGCTGCAAAAGTTTTTGATTGAATTTAACAAGCTTTACAAGGGTTTCAAAGCTTCAAGACTGTCCTATTAAAAATTTTCTTTTTTGATATTTTGAAAAGACATTTGTCTCAAAATGAGGATATAAAGTGTTGCAGATGATGTGAAGCTTTGTGTATGTTAATCATGAAATAACATCTAGTGGCTTCACAAAAGTGGTTTGAATTTTGAAGGGCATGTTGTTCACAACGCTGATGCCATCATTAATTTGTCGAAATGGTGCAATACTTTTGCTCACCTAGTGTATATTGTGTTGAAGTTGCCTCTGTGTTTAACGATAAATGTTAATATTAAAATTTCAAAGAAGTAACTGATGAGGAAAGAGCCTGTGCTGATGTGGCCATATCTCAGCCAATTTGTGAAGCATCTAACTGATTCTACATATGTAATTCATGATGATCTTTCAAGTTATGGGATTCAAATTCGAAATCTCAAAAAAAATTGGTTGTATCATCACTTACGATTGCTATACAAGGTACAAAAACATTGCCCAGATCTATTTCCTAAGCAATTGACCAAACATTTCAATGGCGAAAAATTTTTGTACTTGTACTGTCTGAGATTTTGGGACATGATCCAAATAACATAAATGATGTTTCCCGTTAGGTATCAAGACAGAAAATTTGACCCCATTACATTGGATGAAATACTTGACCTCACAAACAATACAGATATAAGTCAGAGAGATAAAGACTGGTTAGCTGAAGAAGCTCTAAAAAACAATCACAAATTATCAATAAATGATGGAAAATATGCCTTTAAACCAAAATACCCCCTACGCGATCGTAAATCATTGATAAGACTATTGGAGAAACATGAGCAAAATGGTATGGGCGGAGTTCTGCTGGATGATGTCAGAGAAGGGCTGCCTAATGCTGATGACATTGTTAAATCAGTCAGTGAAAGAATATTATTTGTGACAAGAACTAATGACAAAAAAGCTATTTTGTTTAATTATGATCATCAATATGCATTGGAGGTTGATGAAGAATTTCAAAAACACTGGAGAAGTGCAACAGTTGAAGGTCTTGGAGAAGCTGGAATTGAAAAGTATTTGGAAGAATCTGGCATAACAGTGATGCAAGGCCTGCAGCCAGTAAAGACAGCAGAAAGGAAAAAGAAGCCAAGCAACAGAAAAAGGCAATTTAAGAAACTCAATACTCACTTGTCTGGTGACGTGCTTAAAGACTATTCTACTTAAATTAGTAATACATGGAAACACAAAAATACATTTATTATATATCTTATTATATAATGTTGTAAATATTGTTGGAAACAGAAAGAATCATTGATGACCAGATCTTTGTTTGACAATAAGCAGCTATTCCGAAAATATTTATTTTCTTAAATTACAAAATTTCATCACCAGTTAAAGTGACAGCTTTCATGGCTACTAGTGGCACCAGTTTAAAACCACTAGTGGTGGTGCCAAGAGGATATGGGGGGTAATTACCCCCCTACTTGTGTTGAAACATGATCCATGTGTTTAAAAAACGTGATTCTTCATGATATTGATTTAAAAGTGCTGGGTAGGGGAGATTATATTTTCGGCTTTGAAATATACATCTGGTACCAAGCAACAAAACGAGGCAAAAATAGCTCTTGCCTCCACTGAGAACCATTTTGAAGCAGCAATATTTTTGTATTGTAGAGTTTTGTTTGTTTAAATGATAATTGAATTAATGTCAAAAGCAAGTAGGAGGAAGAGCAGGAGAATACACCAGAGACAATATCTGACTGTCTGACCCTCTTTATCTTAATTCTTCTTTATTGATTGGAACATGAATGTTTTAAACATGGTGTTATGCTAGGCAGAAAAGAAATCAATCAATAAGTTGACAAAGTCTAAACATCTTATATCTAGTTTATGAACATTAAGGCATGCTGCCATTCTTTCTTTGTAAAAAATATTATTTGTTTTCTTTGTATTGAAAACACAATTAAAAGAGTACATAAATATGTTTTTTTTTCAGAGTTCAACTGTGTAATTTGAAATAGTTTAGGTCAGTTTACGAAAGATACTTGTTGAAATAAAATGTCTCTTGGTCTGCATTTGAAACTTAATATATTTGTGAAGTATATAGTGTTAAGTAAGAGCAAGAGATAAAGTTAATAGTTGAATCTAGATGATTAATATTTCTTAAAAGATAACAACATTGTGCAGTTTTAACAAATTGGTGTCAGATCACACAACACCCAAATAACCTTAGTTAAACATATTTCAGAAGCTGGACGAACCCATTTCAAACTGGCCTAAAAATTAGTTGAAACTAGTACAGTAACTAATTGTAGGAGGACACTGTAAACAGGACAAGAAGTTGCATAACACTTCAAAAATATCAAATCATTCATGTTGTTTTGAATTAATGATGCAGTGAAAATGGGAATAATAATTTCTACTAGGCTGGTTACAGTTCTCTATAATGTAGACAGAGTTGTTAGCTAACTTCGTTCTTTGAAAATTTACTGAGTAATGGAGAGAAAAATCGAAGGGCAGAATGTGTGCAACGTGATCTCAAATTCGGGAATTTTTCATTCTGCAAGAATTGCCAAAAAACTGTTTAAATTGTCTTTAATAACGTATATCTTCATCAATGCAAAATGTTTCTTTCCTCCTTTTAGTTTCTCTAGAAAAAGTAGACATTTTATGCCTTCGCTGTCATTAGCGTGGCCTCACTTTCATGATAGTTCTTTTCAATGAATTATTGTGACCTTTAAACGCATACCAGTTAACTCCGTTAGCATGTGAGTTATGCGGACCATTGAGATATTTTCCATTCAAATTAGAGGAATGGCATTGGCCATACCACCATGCCCCGTGAAATTCCGTGGCACAATTTTTTCCCCATATATCATTATCCTTGTCTTTGGTGGAAAATCTTTGTCCGTTGTGCCCTGAAAATGAATCGCCAGCCGTTCCTGAGTACGAGCTTACATGCAATGTATACTGTTTTTCTTGTCCATCAATGTAAAATGTGCTGTACTCTGCAAACACTCGCTTTCCATCTACATCTTCAAGGTCAAAACGAATCATCATGTCCTTTTGCTTTGTTAAACGATGAATATTTTCATTTCCGAGCCAGAATTCCTTTGCCAAGACTCCAAATCCTGCCTTGTATAATTCCCAGTTTTGAAAGAAATCAACAGATCCATCAGTTCGCCTCTGTATCACAGTCCAACCGCCTCCCTCATTTGTCATGTCACAGTAAACGGAAAAAGGGACGCCGTTATCAGGGTTAATCGTATATATTCCACTTGCTTTCTGCCCACTTTTTCTCAATGATGAACAATCTCTTGGTTGAAGTTCAAGCAAAACAGATTGCCTTGTAATACCAATATCATTAGTTGCCTCACATATATAATAACCAGCGTCAGCAAAGAAGGGCTTTGTCAAATTGTATGTGATACTTTTGCTATCAGCTGAAAGACCTGCTCTCCCTCTTAGTACTCCATGGGATTTTTTCCAACTGAGTTTTGGAACTGGATTGCCAGTTGCATTACATTTGATTTCTAAAGGAAATCCAACTGTCCTGATAACCTTTTTAGCGTTCAAAAATACTCTTGGTTTTGTGAGAACAGACAACTCTGTTTTCATTGTATCATTACCGAGCACATTCTCTGCAACACATGTGATCCTACCATTGTCGTTCTCGGTAATATTTACAATGGTCAGGGCACCTGTCATTGGAAAAGCATACCTCGAATCCGGCCTTTGTTCTCCAAATGTCCAAAACATTTTTGGCGGAGGGTTTCCATTAGCTTCACAAACTAATGTAAAAGTTGTAGCTTCTTTTTTGAGAATTTTAATTGGGAACCTCGACTTTATATTTGGCTTTGAAATTGATCTCCCTGGCAAACCAGGTTCGCCTTTTAATCCCCTCTCACCCTTATGACCTCGAGGTCCCACCATACCTACAGGACCGACAGCACCCGTCTCTCCTATATCTCCTTTTGCTCCACGGGGGCCTGACTTACCCCTGGCTCCTCTTTCCCCCTTCTGGCAAACAAGTGTCACATTTCTGCATTTTCTTCCGATTCCATGTTCTCTTTCCCAAGGCTGCAATATATAATGAGGCGGCGATTTCAAGGCTTGTAGAATTGAATCAATTTTGGCGTCAATGTTACGTTTTGACCGTATTTTCCGTTGCTCTATGTTTCTGATTTCACCTTTCAGGTACAATCTGTAATAATTGATATCTTCTTGCTTTTGTTTATCATCACGATTGGGAAATCCTTCACATTTCTGCTCGGTTATTTGTTGCCGCGTTCTCAACTCGTCTATTCTTTCCGTCAAGATGCTTTCTGTTTTGAATATTCTTAAATGTAGATAAATTGTTTCAGCGACTAACAGTGCTATCACAGTAACTGAAACAAAACTCAAATTGAACTTTTGAAGACCAGTTTTCTTGTCCACCGCCATGTTATGTTCCGTTTTTGATTCTGCTCAGACAGTTGTTCCTCAACAGCAGAGGGTCGTCGGTTTTAAATGCTTCCGGATTCTTTCTTTTTACAGTCACAGAATACAGTTGTGGTCAGCCTTATGAACATAGTTCCTTGTCGCGTTCCTTGTTATGAACAAAACAATTCGCAACAAGACTTCAAGGGAAGAAATTTTCACGGTACGAAACGTTACAAAGAGGTTTCAAATACTTTTACGCACAGTACCCGAGGCAGTCCTGTAAGCGAAACCAAGCGAGCTCGGATAATTGCTTAAACATTTTTCATAAAATCACGAAAGGCTGTTGATTTGAATATTTCGGATAAGGCAAGCGAGCAGATAAGGTACCGGGCTGGAGGTTTTTTATAATCAGCCCCTGAGGCGTTCTCCTGCTGAGGGGCATTTGATGGTCTTGAATTTATGGATGTCACGCAGATGGTTAGATTTTTCAGTTGAATGGCACTGCAACACTACTAATTCAGTTTTAGTTTAATATGATGCAAATAATCTTTATTTCAGTGCTATATAAAATGTCAGCAAGATTAATTCAAAATAGAAAGATTGAAATTTATAAACCATTCTGCATTGTGTAGTTTTGCAGACCTGATTTTTTAAAAGGAATCAGTTCATTAATGGATTGGCTAAGTGGTGACAATTTTTAGAAATTTCATTGTGGACCATATACCTGAAAGCACACCAGGAACAGGAACATATGTAAAAAGTCAGATCTTTACAATTACAATAGTCTGTAAACCATCGAAGAGCACAACACGTAGGAGATTAAGTTACAAATAGGCCACAGTTTCCGACCTTCCCTGAATATTGCTTCTGTGCTTGATAAACGGATACTGACGAAACACTCTAATTCAGTTTGAAGAGCATATCTTGAATAAGATTTGCAAATAACGGCCTGCTTTATTGCTTTAATAACTCTACATATTATTCAAACTACTTCATTAACAAAGTACAAATATCGTATACATGCAATATTATGGCAGGCCCACCTACAATAATATCATCTAATTCGTCATCTTCATGTAATATCGTTCATATCCATCTTGCATATTGTTGTAAAAATAGTACATGTATGGTGTTACAACAGTCAAACCTTCTTTCCCATTGCTACACGAGTTTCATCCCGATGAGAAACGTTTCTAGATATAAATATTACACAAAGGCATTTAGACGTTATTTATACATTTATAATATAATGAAAACAGTCTGATGTATTTATCCAATTCATTTTTTTGCATTTATTGTGCAATATCCTTTGAAACGAATACTTTAACATTCAAATTATTATGCTGGTTGCTGCTAGCTAAAAACCTCTTTTTCTGTTCTCGATAATAACTTGTCTGTTGGCAGGTAATTTAGCGTGAACCTTGAAGCCCTTTGATGAATCCAAATCCACTTTTTCATACAACAGCACATCTAATTTTGCTTCCTGCAAGATTTACAAGCCAGTAATAACTTTTAATTGTCATTGCCGATTAACGATCATTTTAAGCAAAGGTGTAGGAGACAAAGCGGCTAGAGGGGGAGGAGGGGGAGGGGGGAGGAGGGGTTTCTCAGCTAAATTTTCTCAAAAGCCAATCTGCATTTGGTTAAATGCATGTCAACAAACAGGCTACATTTGAATGTAGGGGAAACGAAGGATGCTTGAAATGTTCTTAGCGATCAACTTGTCCCCCTATGCACAAATATTGGAGGGACTATTCTTCATTTGATATACGTTAAGTAACCACAAAAGCCATTAAAAAATAGATATATACGATATATATGTCAAAGTCCACAAAAATGAAAAATAGGAAGTCATAATGATAAACCTATAATTACCTCGTTTTTTATATTCACAATCTTGTCAAGAAGCAAAAGTCGTTTCTTCTCAATTTTAAGATTAGAGAAATCCTTTAAATAAGAAAAATTGACTTGAAATAATTTGTGCAAAGAATGAAAATGTAATGGTAACAGTATATAATGACAATTTATGATCGGCTGACTCGAAACAAGTACCGTAAATCCTCGAATTGCCCCCCCCCCTCGAAAAGCTTCCCCCCCCGAATAAGCCCCCATCCAAAAATATCAAAAATAAATAAGCCCCCAGGGGGCTAATTCGAGGATTTACGGTACTTGCAGTGAAAGTAACATAGTAAAGATTTGAAATATTATCTTGTTTTGGCGCCTTGTATGATTAGGAGAAACATTAGCATATGAAACCTTTTATCTGATTGTTTATTCGGTTGTATTCCGGCACGCCGCGTTGTTTCCGTTTGTAAAAAAATATGCCCAAGAAGACAAAAAGAGTGTCAAAATTTGGAAGAATAAATGAAGACCTTTGATGACTGCAGGTGTAGGCATTGATTCTAAAGTTTTTATAACTGCAGAAACATTTTTTATAAGTGATTTTATACCTCGAGACAAGGCATAATTGAAAAATATTCTATTTACTATGTATATATATATATACATTATATTTTTCTGTTTCCTAAAGTCTTTTTTATTCTAGAATATGATAGAGGCGAATCTAGAAGCTTTCGGTTTGCTGATGTGTTGTTTTTAACGCATTTGAGCTTCAAACTTCTCACAGCTAGGCCCTGCTAGTCCGCCACTATGCGCGCCAGTCCACCCAGAGACACACGAGAAAAACACTGATTCTGAAAATTTTTACTACTGCGTAAACCTATGCACATTCTCTGTGTTCTCGTCAAAAGTGCATTTACAATCAATTGGATAAAACAGAAAAAAGCTTAAGTTAGAAAGTAACAAGTCGGGATTATCCACCATCCAGAATTTAAAAAAGTGCTCTTTATATAATGATAATCTTATAAAAGCAGTAACTGCACATACCGCATTACCGCTTTCCGATTCACTAAAAATGTAACTGCTCAGATGATGAATGGCCAATAAGTAAAAGAATGGGCACCAACTTGGCCTGGAAAGAAAACGTTAAATGTAAAACCAAGATTAAGGGCTACTCCAACAGCCAAAATTGAAGGCCAAAAAGCTTTGAAAATATTATCAATTTGTCAAAAATAAAGAAAAATCTTTGAGATAGGGGCATCGACAAAATACGCATGCTCAGAAGGAGTGGGGGGTGAAGGTAGGTTCAAAGATAGCCTACGATCGCAGAAAAGGCGGAATGAGGCCCAAAGGAAAGCATCCTATTGCGAGGATGGCTGAGCTGTTAGAGGCGCTGACTACAGACCCAAGGGTTCGTGGTTTGTCCAAACTTTCACCCAGAGTGAGACGAGTCGCCTTCTCTCTGTAATTCCAGGCCTAGAGGAATCATGAGGTGTGGTCACATCGAGAGGAAGGACCAGGATACTGCTCGATAAGCATAAGCTTCTCAGTGTCCTAAAAACTATCTTCGGATGCTAGGTAGAAACAAATACAAATACAAAAATCCATACATTCTTAACAAGCACACACAAAAAGCCTGTACAGCCGAAGCGGGAGGTCTAATATTCCTGAGCGTAGATAATTATTAAAGCAATCGGAATATCTGAATCTTTATAAATAACAAATGAAAGCTGGATGTATGCCGAATGAAAGCTGGTAACTTGATCTTGCTCTGCTCTGGTCTAATCAGCCAACACGAGACATCAGCGATGGCGTTGATTTGTCATGATAAAACGGTATAGACCATGCAGCAATATAATTTTTCACATGCCTCTAAACAATCTAAGCATTCTTTTTCCCTCAATTTGCTCTCTCTCTTTTCATTTCCCTGCCAAAATTTGGATTTTATTTCCCTTCTCTCCGTTGCTGGGATAATTCTGTAACAGCTTTCCTGTCTCGCAAATCAAAAAGCGATGTGAGTTAAGGCCAGGGCATTTTTTAAGGAATTTCCACTGGTGGGGCATTTGACAAAAGGGCATAAGATAAAGGAAGAATTTACAGATAAACAGGCTTTCAAAAATAGACTTTGTGAATTAGAAAAGGAATCACCTATAGAAGCAGCAGTTCCAGGGAAAAATGAATTGAGATTTGAAACCTGTTTAATGAAGATTTCATCCACAAATATCTCAAATAAAGTAAAAAGTAAAAAAGTCACCGAATCATAAGGGCACTTAAGTGGTGGGCCAAACATGTTCCACTACTGGGGCAATGAAAGGGGCTGGTGGGGAAATTTCCCCACCACTTTATATGTTAAAAAATGCCCTGGTTAAGGCAGTTAACAACCAAGAAAATCCATTCACCTTATCAGCCCCGAAGCAATGCTTTTCAAATAAAGCTGGATCATTCCTTCTTCTTCTTCTAGTGGATCCAGAAAATTAGACAAGGGTATAGTTACCTGACGAAAAAATTCAGAAATGATGTGGAACATATAAAATCATTATTAAGTAATGTAAAAAGGTTAGATATAGGAAATAAATGCATTGTTCTATATGCTAATAATGCTTTCCTCTCTATACTCTAGCAACTTTATATAAGAAACGCAGTAATGGGACTGTAGAGCAGTTACATCTAAAGCATCAAGGGTAGAAGCATAATAAAAAGTTCAAAGAAAAACTAAAAGGTAATTGGATAATACTGAAAACCTGCTTACTGATTTTATTGGCAGAGAGAATATTCGAAGTGTTTCACAGTTCTCTCCCCAAAGGGATTTCCTGTATTTGACGTCAAATCTTTGTGGCAAGGGTATGAGCAGAAAGTTGCTGAAAAGTGGGTCACCAAATGACGTACCGGAAAACTGGACAAGGAGTGACGTAAATCTGAAAATAAGAAGGAACACTGATAAAATAAAAATTCGGCAAAGAACTATTAATTGAATCAAAATATCATAAAAAATATAACAAGAATTGATAGTAACTATTGACTCACAGAAATGACAAAACATATTAAGAAGAACAAAATTTAAAAAAAATAACTGTGAGCCTATCAAAGAAAATTCCTTTTACGGCTATATAGTTCTCTGCGATACAGCGCTCGCTGTCGTTTAGGGAGAGCAGTACAGTTGCATGATCATCTTATTAAGCGTGAAACTCGGAGTTTCAACTTGGAATTACCTATTCCCCCAAAGCAAATTAATTCATCATACATAAACAAGTTTTTATCCACCAATAGGATACAAAGGACAAGATGTAAATCTCTAAGTTCTAGGCTAAAAAGACTCTTTTCAATGCAATTCTTATCGACTTTTTCTTGTGTGCTTATGTGTATTTACGAAAATTTTCGTTTTGATGTTATTCATCCATTAAATCAAAATTAAATCAAACCCCAAGGAATAATGAAAATGGTTCGAATTAACGAATGTTCGAGTTATCGAGGGCTCAACCGTATAATAGAAGGTTCAAGGGTGTGCAGAAACAGTTTTAAATAATATAAGTTTGAGTAGTCGGGAGTTTAAGCTTTAGCGATTATACTGTATTCGTACAAGCAAGTTCTCATTTTAAATTTACACATTACACATAATGAAGAAATCGGAACTCACAGGTCATAGAAAGATGAAATTCCAGGAAATCGCTTCTCAAAGCAAAGTTTGTCTAGATTTTCTGGCTTTGTGTATATTCTTGCAAGCGCTGCTAGCAAATGATGAACGGGGGGCTCGAGAAATGCATCATTACCTAAAACGTATGATTACATCACATAGGAGCAGATGGCATCATTAATGAATAACCAAAAATAAAAAAAAGAAATTTTCAGCGAAACACTTGCACTGCACATATTTTTTAAATCTTCCAGAAACAATGTACTTGATCATGTACTTGAATGACAAAAAAGAATAGAAATGCTTTGCTAGAAGGACCGATTCGAGAAAAATACTGAAAAATATTCTTGGCTCCAGAATACCATTGGATTCAGTGCCAATGCTATTAAAAATTTAAACAGTCCATTGCTAAAAATATCTGCTGTGATTATACATGAAAGCAAAAAGAACAGCATCACAAAAAACTGTCGAAATGTTGAGAAAGCCATTTTGACTCACCGATCATGAAGATACAAAGAATCCGCACCAGTTTAAAGGACTGGTCAATATCCTCAAGAGCTTCTGGCATGTACACCTCAAACAACAAGATCAAGGAAAGGCTCATTTCTAGAGTCTTTATCGCATCAGTAGTCAATTGGTTGATAATTTTCCCCCGCAGTTCCCTAAAGAAATAGAGGCATTTAATAGAAAAATGTAGACTCAGGATGCATCAAGCTCTATACAACAATGGCCTAACGAGCCTATCACCTACCTAACGAGATAGAAAGATGTACTAGTATATCACAAACGCCAAGCATTTATTTCCTAAATAAGGCTAATGAAATACCAATACCAAATTTTTGGAGGACTCGATAACAAACTAACAAAATAGTTTGATGTTGTGTTAACAGAACTTTAAAATACATTAAAAACCACAAAAACACATGGTTTGATATTCAATGAAACAACATGATTCTTTTGTGAAGACTGTTTATAGAATAGAAGAAGCGGATTACAGTAACGTCGACCACGTTCCATCTATACAGTGCTGGAGTGCAATCTCGTTCGCTTCCACTCCGTAAAATGAACAAGGAAATAAAGGAAACATCGCTGTTTTGTCTCGACTCTTTCTATCTGGTCTTAATTTCTTGGAACACAAAAAACAAATCTTGTTTGAATACACAAAAATTTATGGAATAACCTTTTAATAAACAAACTTCTTCGGCCATTTTGAAAATTACTTAAATCTTAAAGGGATGAACATTTTCATAAAGCAATAAAAACGGGGTGACCAACTTCCCTATTATAGATTATTATTTGATCAGAATATAAATTATTACAAAGTGATGATAAAAAAGCAAGATACTGACATGCTTACTGCCATGTTGTATAAATTGAGTATCGGCAGAAACACCCAGTCCATTGGCAGGAGTGGCCCTTGGTTTTCTGGCAATAGGAATGAGTCTTTGTGAAGCGTGCCAGTTCCTGACCTTGAAAAAATAATTTCTTTTGAAATTCATTTATTAAATGTTCAACTGCAGACGTTTCTGTTTATAACAAAGCTTCATTTGAAAATATATCTATTTTTGCATTATATTTGAATACATTGTCAATTACTCTTTGATGTATAGAACATGAAGGTTCTAAGTCGCAGTCTAAAGGTCATCGAGTACTTCATGACAGACCGGCAAAACAGCAATATTCATTACATTTTCAACTAGATATTCCCGTCTCAATAAATCATCTTTAAGGCCGGTTTCTACTTGATACGCTCTGGTCGCGCGACTGAGTATGCCCAAGATTTAACTCTATCATTTGTTCTACTTCTTGAACTGCTGAGCGACTGTTTGCGTCCACCGGTTCGCTGAATAGTCGAACCGCATTCGCCGAAGTCGCGCCAAAGAAGATGACTTAAATTGAAACCTACCTAACGAGCGTTTATACAGGGAACCCAGAGGATTAGTGATACTTTTCCACTTAACGATCCAAAACCCTGATACATCAGAACTTGTTACTTCAAATATTTGCAAAATGAAATGAAAAATATTCAAAAAATTTGCAGTAATTTGGTGGGTGATTGGTTTAGATTTAGAAAACAGAAATATCTCTCACAAACCTTAATTTCTCCATGGCTTTTCGGCCATTTTTGAAGCAATGGGCAACGTAAACACTACAGGTAACAGATAAATTATCCTTCGCGGTGTTGAGAAGTGAATCTAAGCTTTTCACGTCCTCGTTTTGTTCAGTTGAATGAGAAGATAAATCCAAATGGCCTAGCATTTTCGCCACCTTTTCCACCTGCGAATCTCTATTTGGAGAAAAATTGATAAGTTTGATGGATGAAACCAATATCAAGGGTAGTTCATTGGACAAGTATTGATGACTATAAACAGCCTGTACAACAAAATGTTATACAAAAGGATCACTACAAAGACCTAGTCTAGATACACAATAAATTCCTAATCCAAAAGCAGTCGATTTTACAATTACATATAAAATTTAGAACTTATAACTTATAATTTTATAAATTGATAATTGAAAGACTTCTGAATCTAAATCACCTAGGGACCTTTTCTTTATCTCTTAATTTTGACTGTTTATACATTAAATTTTATAACATTTTAATACTTTCACAATGAAACATTATTCGTTAGAAGTAGCTTTAATTTTTAATCATCAACTATCGCTAGACATCTTATAAATATACCATAGTCAAAAAGAAAATTTGTAACAAAACCAAACACAATTATGCAAGTTACTCGAATTTCATGTACACCTAAACATTATCATGAAACTTGTTTGTGATGCTTAAAATTTCAAGACTTTAAAGAACACAGAAAACAACAGATTGAAGTAGTTTAAAAGAATACGATAGCAGTAGTAGCACTCGAATCTCCGAAAAACTACGAGCTATAGCTTTAAGATCATTTGCTAAGATTTTCAAGCCGTTATCCTTTTTTGTAATTCAAACGATTTTATCCTACACAGTTTCATGATATTTTTATCTCATGACAAATACGACAGAAGCTTATCTTATCGACAATATAGAAACACTCGAAAAGATCAAAGCGGGAACACGATAATCTTAATCGCCTGGATAGAGCAATGTTCTATTATTGTGGTGGTCGGGGCGATCATGAACTAATCATGCGTAACTTGATATCGAACATGATCGGAGTGATCACTCATACTAATGATCACTCAATGACCATGATTGTCTCTATCGTTCAAAAAATATGTGGCGATTTAGGGGGTTATTGAAGGTAGGAAAATCAACTGATTGAGTGGTCTTCAAGTTTTCAACAAATTCCTTACAAAAAAGCACTGTTCGCTGCCATACATGCTCCAAGCAAAACTTACCGATACATGCTTCGACGAAATATGATCTCCATCATCAAGTCAACAGCCTCTCCTGATTCATTGTGATGCAGAATACCCAGCAGCTTGAAAGCGGATTGATGATAAAGTGTAACTAAACCAGGATCCATTAGCGTTGAATCAACACAGTTGATCTACAAAATAAGCAAATAGATTATATCGAATAATACTTTCATGGCTTTACATATATTTCTATATGATAACATAACCATGCAACCAATCTAAGAATCCTTCAAGAGATAAAAAACATTTGTCAAAATTTATTCCTATAAAACTTACTCTGAGGTCCACTTTGAGGACTTTAAAAGTTAGAACCAAATAAGTATCAGTTTTGTGAAACTTCATTTTGCGGGGATTCTCTCCAGGTTTAATACCCTTAAGATCATCGTCTAGTTTCATTTTCAATCTTAATTAAACTTCTGGAATGGTCTCAAGCCCTTCGATTAATAAAAGAGTTTGTAGGTACTGTTTTTCATAATCGTGCCCTCCCTACCCAAGACTCGCCTTCAGCCCCCGCAGAACGACTGGACATTTTCACTGAAGATGCACTGGACAAATGTCCAGCGTAAATGATGCGTCGTTTTGCCACCTTGTCCAGTGTTGTCCAGTGTTGTCCAATGTTGTTCAGCGATGTTGAGTATTGTTGAGTCAATTTTGAAGGCAGTCAAAAATGTTCAGTAGAAAGGATTATATTTCTTTTGTTCATTGACGTTGTAAAGAATTGTCAAGTCGTTTTGCCACTTTACTGAACATTGTCCAGTTCACGCGCACGCAGTTGATGTAATGGATTGGATTTTCTGCGAATTTATTTCCCATGTTCAAATTCAACATTAACATTCAATTCGACGAAGAGCAGATAAAGGCATTTCTTTAGTAGCGATGAGTCTTCTGAAGAGATAAGCTTTAGTTCCGATGAGGGAAGCGATGGCAGAGAGCACGAGTATGGTGATTGTGATGAACCTTGCTTGGCCTAACTCTTCTTCAAACACAGTTTACCGTGGGCATTCTTCAACAGGGAAAAAGTTCACTGGACAATGTCCAGTCGCTCTGCCACCGCCAAATTTTTCTGATGTCCACACACTGAACAAAGCGAGCAACGCCCAATGCATGGCCAGTGCAAATGTCCAATCAATTTGCTGGGGCTTTACACGTCATACTCCAAACTAGGGCATGTGAGTCAATCCATAAAACCAACAGTTTGTAATCAGGCAATAGTAGAGTTTGGCCAGGTTAATCTCTCATAAACATGTCCTGGCTCAGCTAGTTAAATTATGGATTATATTGACCAGCAGCCCATTGAGTGTGACCCAACAAAGTTCAACAATTGTTCGATGACATCGCAAGAAAGTTTCTCTACTATTAACGTAAAACCAGATATGGAATATTATTCCTTGATAACCTTATTCAATATAAAAACTTAAAAACAAATTTGTCTAAAATTTTGTTTGAGCTCCTTTCTAAATTGATAGTTTCCGTCCGAGGAGGGCTTTTCAAACCGGATTGAGAAAGCGACTCGTGATTGCGTCACAAACATTAAATGAAGGGCTTCTAAAAGCAAAGAAAAAGTACGAAATATCTTGGGAAGACCAAGACAGAAGGTAAAATCGGAAAACAAAACCGAAAAACAAAGGCACAGTTCGCGTTGCCAGTAGATTGAATCATTAGATGATAATCCCTGAGGCCAAGAATTAAGTAATACAACGAGACAAAAAATTAAAAATCAAAGCTGTAAAATGTAACAGATAAAAAATGTTCATGGAATGAAAACTTTAATCATGATCTCTACTTACCGTGACTTGAAAAAGAGATAGTAGGTTGTAAAGAAACTTCCTTTCCACAAAGGAAGAAATCGCAGACGAGGAGAGCTGTAGAATCAATCATGGAAATAAATCATACATTAATTCACATTCTCACCAGCAGGCAAAAAAAGATAAAGAAACTTTCGAATAATTATTATCATCTGCTCTATTGATTTTACAAACTGAAAATTTTATGTTTATTCCGTTGAAAATTTTTGTATAAGATCATTCACATGACGGTTGCAGCAATCTAAAACTGTCATTTTTACACTACAAGAAATATACCACAGGGAGCAAGACCTTTTTGAGGCATATATTTTTCTCGAGGACAGAGTTTATGCAGTTTAGAGCTGGGTGATTGAGGCAGTAGCCAGGCTAGACGGTATCTCTTATTTTGCAATCCCATAACATGGATTAAAAATATATTTAGTCAAAGTTTTCAATGATTGCATTTGCCTCTCTATATAGATCTCGTGGTACAAACCCCTTTAATCTTTTTTCTAGTGTGCCATCAAAAGTTTGATACACAAACGTTTGATACATTCTACTGTGACATCCAAAGCACACATGGTCATCCGGTCTCTTCTTTGGATGACACTAACAATTTTCATACTTAAGCAGAAAAAATAGAATCTAAGGTAGCTTTATACCAAATAGTACAAGACCCTAAATTTGATTAGACAAATAAAACAAAACCTGGTTGCCCCTTTATATATCAATTAGCCTATCCTTGATAAATAAGTCGTATACAGTGTTTGATAACATATCCTATTCCTGGTAAGTTTGTGTCGTATCAAATTTAGGGGAAGTGCTTACTTGATATGTGGAGGACTTCGGCGAACATATCTCCTTCAAATATCTAATTAAACCTTGTTCTTTCAGAAATGGTAGCATCTATAAAAGGAACATATAAATTAAAAAAAAACAAGAAGATGCGGCGTAAAAAACTCTTTACGATGACAAAAATTGAACGGAAATTTCTATTCAATGGAGATCGAAAGAAACGTGACTGGAAAAATTGCACATTTGATTTGTGCCTTTCTTTTAACCTATCCGCGACAAAGAAGCCCCGCACAAAGTTAATGGGTCCAAGGGACAAAACTCTTTCTATTTACTAAAGTCAAGAATTTTTGCTTTGATGAAGACAGATTCGAAGACGCCTAAATTAAAAATGACCTTTTTCACCCAAAAGTTTCAAAGCTCTCAGCAATTTTTAGTGCAAACTTGGTTCTCGAACAAATGATTGATGTATCGATGAGCCTAAACAATTGCCAATATAAAACAGATTAAAAAGACAACTAGAGGAGGTTATTCTAGGTATTACGAAATGGACAGAAGAGGTTGATCTACCCAGCTAGCCTATCAATTAGGATAATTTGGTTACAACAAACGATTCAATCCATGACCTGCATTTGAGATGTCGTAACGAATAATAGAACTAGACACAGTACCTGGCGGCAACATCCTTTATTGACAACCGCAATACGATGAAGGAGCTTTGTAAATGCACTTAGAAATATTACAGGGGGCTCGATACTGCTGCACATTCCCCTTAACTTTGCCATTCCGTGATTTGGAAAGCTCCTGACTTCATGACTTGAACTAAGAGTATCCAGTGGTTTGGTGAAGTCTGAAAATTTACTGAAAGAGAAAATAATAAAGCTGCATAGATGGTTGATTAATAAGGATCATGGCGAAACTGAATTAGCAAAAAATATCAATATAAACAGCCAAATATTATATACATCATACAATGCATAAGATAATATCAGAAATATAACATCATTTTTTGCAGGCACTACAAATCTGCTGCACTAATGGCTTATTCACATAATAGCATATATGCTTGATAAAAATATAAAAAATTAATACATTTTATTTATTAGCTTATGTATAACAAATGTAAAATTAAGATAATGTCTTACGTTAAAAAAAATAATACAGGATGAAGACTGTTAGCATTGCATAAAAAAACCTTAAAATACCTTAAAACTCCCATAAGTTTGCTCAATTTGCTCGATTTAATGATGTCACCTAGAAATTCTCCCATCCATCTTTCAATTTCAGACAAGAATCTGATCTTATCGACCGATTTCTAAAACAGAAAAAGAAACGAACAAAAAAACCGATTAAAAACTCCATTTTGTAGCTTGTACTTATTCAATAATACATATTTACGGATCAACATAATCGTTTTTAGCAATACTAAAAAACGTATTTTAGCAAGGTTTAAAGTTTTATCCTTAAATATAAATTCTACAAGTTTTAAATTTTGAAATAAAAAATAATCCCTTTAAAAACAAAACATTCATCACTAGCCAAAAGCATCTTTATCCAATAGAAAAACAATCTTCATGACACAGGCTTCATTATGTAGAGAAAAAGTTTAATGAAATAATATTTCTGGTCTATTTTTGTTTAGTTCTTAGTTACGGTCAGATATATTTTGCATTAGACGCTAATGCTTTTTTCAATGACTGGGAAGGGGGGGGGGGATTTTGGAGAAAATGTGAAGGGAAATGTATAGAATAATGAAGCTCGAAAAGCAATCACAAGAAAAGAAAAAGGACAAGCACAATATCATATGCCGTTGCATTCAATACGTCAAAGTTACTTCTTTTACACAAGTCCACAAAGACGTGTAATATTTCATTGTTTTAAAGACGTGTAATACTTCATTGCTTACGGTTCCCGAATAAGATAACTGCAAAAGAATAGAATTCTTACTTGCTGCGAAGCACTCTCGGTATAAGCTGCTAGATAAAGAAGGGTGCAGGCCATGTAACGCAGATCATCAGTCTGTAACTGAAATGCAATGCAGTTCACGATGTCAAGAACTCGCTAGATACAAGAACATTGGTTTCTGACTATATAATAAGATTAAATGGCAGCTAACAGCAATGGTAAAGATACTCTCCTTTTATCTGTGGAAATGGGGACGAACTTAAGAATAACTGTCTATTAGTAATAGTTATAGTACCAAAGTATATAATATTTAAAACTCATAATGGGAGGTTCGTTTATTCAATAACCAAATGAAATAAGAAAGCCAAGTTTTTTAACAATTTTTATCGTCTGACAGAAGGCAAACAGTTATTTGGCTTCAGGCTAAACTCAATTATGTCACCCTGACAGAACGATGTCTTTTTTACAGGGAATGCAGCACAAATTACAATTCAAGTATTGACGAAGATGAATAGCAAACAGCAAAGATGAAAGATGTCTTTTTTGTCTATGGATATAGGAGGAGTTGTATATTTATTAATGACGAACTCAGCAATTACAGCAATGCAAACTATAGTACTTATCTAACAGCAAAGTAGTTTATAATCTACAAATAGATCAGTAAATAATGAGAGGTTCGTTTCTTCAATAGCGAACGGAAATAAGGCAACCAGGACACGTTCATTGCGTTCAAAGTTAGAAGAGGAGACATGTCATTAGCTTTATGTCGTTTCGGCAGAACATTGTCACCCTTACAGGGAAGTTTCCTAGATATAGAAGGCGTTAGCACTATAAAAGAAGTACTAGATATTAAAGATCACCTCAAGCTCTGTTGATGAAAATGCCTCTGCCGTGCTCCTTATTGACTGCCACATAATGGAATCGATGCCGGAAACCATGCTCCAGTCAAGGTCTGGGACTAGCTCTTCGACGTCACAATCAAAACGAACCTTCTGAGCGGATCGCGTGTTTAAACCCTCCTCTGCCGACTTGTAGGTTGTCATTTGCACCACAGCCGCAGCTAGGAGCACAAGACTGGACCTCAGGTTTAGATACTTGCCATCATTATTTAAGACGTATTTTTGTAAAAGTGATATCAAATACGGATAAACATCACTAGAACAGACGAGAAAATAGATATCAAACATACTGTGAGTGTCAATTTTTATTGCAACATTGCTGAATTTGCAATTTCGTGTAGTAAAATAACATCATTTTTACGGGTTTAACTTTATTTTGTCCTTCGAAGGAGTTAATTTGTACTGCTAGGTATACAAAACTAGAAAAAGTTTTCTTTAGAAAAAAATAGAAGATAAAGAAAAACTGTGAAAATAAAACAGTTAGAAATTTCAATTTGAAATGTTGCCTTGAAAATGACTATAAAATGTTGACAGAGGATAACAGGGAAATATCTTTCAACAAAGTTGGGTAGTTTTAAAGATCTTCCAAGAAAACTAACATTGTTGTTGAGCTGGAAACCCCATACAACAGACAAACTCTCCAAATGTGTAGAGACTCAGTGGCCAGTTGAATGAGGCTTGATAACCCATCGTTGTCCTCATTCACTGATGACGTGTAGCGGAGAATTCTTGCAGGCAGATCAAAATCGTTCCACTGAAAAAAAAAATTTGATTAACTTGGTAAGTTTTCAGGATGAGAAGTGAAGAAAAATTTTTTCCCATTGAATACAGCCTAGAACACACCGTAGATAAAGAAAATTTCGGTGAATGGGAAAATAAGAAAAAAGATATATATAAACAGTATTGTTTAATTAATTTGCACTTGCAAAATGAGTTTGTTTCATTCCATGCGAAGCAAACGTTAGGCTAGTAAAATCACCTACAGTTTTGTACGTGCATTATCTTCTTTAAAAAAAGGCTATTTTCCAAGTCTGAAACAGCCTTTGAAGGCTACATTTTGCATCACTTTATTGTCAAAGCTACATTGTCAAAGCTACATTCGAAGGCTACATTTTGCATCTTAGTTACGAAATCTAGCAATTAATAAATCAATCTAGCATATAGTCTATTAACTTATACCAACAGGCAAAAAAAGATACAAAAGAATGTAGAACTGGATCTTCCTTTCACCAAAAGTCCGCAGTGCCAAAGGGAGATATCTTTTAAGATCTGAGGGTTTAATAGTGTTCAGCCGTCCTCAACAATTATTTTCTCCCATCATCACACGACTTTGTTTATCCAATCTCAGTGTACAGAAAAGATACATTTTACCACCAATTCTTTCTTTTCGTGCTGACTCAGTACGTGAAAGTTTAATTAGGTTATTGACAGTTAGTAAAAGCCATACGTATTAGCTGAAAAAAAGGTACTACTGTTATAGGTAATATCGCCAATGAGCAAAAACCAGACAAATTCTACAAAAAAGCAGTGGAAAGGCTTAGACGAGGTGTGGTGCTTTGAGCTCTTTTTCACTGACCTTCCACACCGTCGTTGGACATTTGACCTCCAATTTTAAGTAGCTCTGCCCAGACACTCACCATAGTCAGATTAAGACATAGTAAGGTCATCCAGAACAAATCTTCAAAATATAAAAAAAAAATATAAATACCAATTTTGAAGAGATACTTTTCCCAGCCAAACACATTATTCTTATGAGCCGTAGTGCTTTATAAAACGGGATGTTTTCTCTTGCTCCTATCGTATTGGACCACGTTATCGGTAGTAGCTTGTTGAATATCGTTTGCATCAATCTTGGGCATTTCAAGATTTCATAGCAGGATTCGCTCGAATGGAGTGCAACGCGACTCAGGATTGTCATGCAGTAGTTTATAGTTGTGCCATCTGGTTCACAGACTTCAAGGATATACCTCAGACGGGGTAACAATTGTATCTTGAGCAAACCCTGCAGAAAAATGACATATGAGATTGGAACACCATTGAGACAGCTAACGAGAATAAAGTGTATGAATCTCCAAGAGCGATTTTCAACTGACTGCAACAGGGATTATTTGAGCCCAAAAGTGTTTCTAAAGCAACAGGTTCGCATATAAAGGAAACAGTCAGCTCAATGTTATTTCAAAACTGACTTTCACTAAACTTCACAAAAACAAGGTAGTTAGCGAGTTAGAGATTTACAAGAGTAAAAACAGTACAAAACGTATACAATTAACAAGATGACGGTATTGATAACAAACTAGGTTTTAGATGATGATGTTGATTAGCGATTATGATTGATAGCGATCGATTGATTAATGGTCTTCATGATGTTGGTTGATTGGATGATCGATGATTTGCAGCTCTAAACAATAAATGAATGTGAAAAAGAGGGTATTGCTATACATTTGAAATTTAAGAACTAAACGCGTTTCGCTAGTAAAACAAAAGCAGTCATCTAAAAATTTGTTTGTCTCAATGAACAATTCAATCAAGGAAACTCTTACTGGTTTCTATAAATGATGTTCCTTTGAAGATACTCACGTGGCGACAAGCCCATCTGTTTTAGGGATTCCTTAATCTTCTAGGTTATGGTAAAGAGTTTGGTAAGATATCACAAGAAAGGGGAAAGGGGAGATAGTGAAATAAGGAAGAGAAAGGCCTTTGAGAAGCCCATTAAAATCCTGACAAACGTTACTTTTGTTAATAATATTAATAATATATCTTGCCAAATCTACGTTTCAGAGCAGTTACTATACCACAAACACAGAATTGCCAGGAAAGACGTCATGTGCAGTCAAGTACCACAGGCTAATTTTCACTTAAGTTTGAAAAAGTTCAACCAATCTCTCGATTTCTATCAGGCCTTTTGCTTTGCTTTTTAGAATTTGTTCCATTCCTGGAAGGTGTCTTTTGAATTTTTCGCATTGCCATAAATGTTCTAAGTTTTCTTCATGTAATCCACACCTTCTGCAACTTATATTATCATACTTTCCTTTGTAATTAGCTTTTAAATTGGTCATGTTTAGTTTCAATTTTAGCAACGCTGGTCCCTTTTTATGTTTTATATATTCTTTTATTCCAAAATTGCCTTTCTTAATGAACCTCATCTTTGTTTTATCGCTATTTTTAACTTGCTGCTGTGAAGTCTGACTTCAAGAAAAGAGAAAATGGAGCGAAATCCACAATCCTGGACAAACGGTTTTGAGTATTGAGTACTTAAATACATATGCTCCAATTTAGAATAGGGGGAGAGAGGATAGATGTTGAACCATACATGCATGCTACTGGGCACGTGTCGAGGGGTTCGTCTCAACAGCTCTGTCCAACATTGTAGGTCCGGTGGCATGTAGATGAGGCTTCTTTGAGTACTAACTATTTCCAAATCGATTTCCAAGAACACTCAAATCGCAAAAAAGGACACTACATTATCCAATGAGGCTCGATGCAAGAGAAGATTACTCTTCAATGCATAAAAATATTCTAGCTTAATTTCGTTGAAGGAAAACCCGACACTGGTTATGATGTATAATAATCAACGTTGCAAGTGGGAAAATGCCATGAAACAGCTTTAAAAATAGATAAAGGTGAACTACCTTGATGAGATCAATCCCCATAACTTCAGGGTCAGTCAAATCTCTGCCTTTTTCTTTTTTTAATATTTTGATTTCCTCGTTTCCACTTAGCGGTTTCAAGCATGTTACTTGAAAACCTTCATCGGCGTACATCAGTTCGTCTAGGACAACCTTTTAAAGGACGAAAAATATGTCATGAACAACAGAAAGGAAAGTAAACTAAGGGAACTGAAATATTCTGAAGACACTTTTTGTATGTATCATCATTTTAAATATATCAAATTATATGAAAAAACTGTTTACCGGTCTTTCATAAAGTGCTTGGTGCCGTAAAGGCAGAGCTGTACATGCTATTGGTGTATAGAACAGGACAGTTCAAAGTTGCTACTCTGAGTTTCACGCTTAATGCGATTACAAAGCATTTGTATAACAAATTCTGTAATCATTTAATTTCTTTATGTAATTCATATCCTGAAATCGCAATGCAGGTTAGCTTAATTAGATTCGTTGCCGTTAAAATCTGACTGCTAACACACTATTGTAATGTTGATGGCGCTTTCAGCAAAAAAAAATTTTCAATTCACTCACAGTGTCGTTTGGACTGTCCAGCAATGCTGAGAAGGCATAGATGGCTGCACAATTGACTGCATCTGTGGCATCGTCCAAAGCCCAACGCAACAGAAATGGTAGTCCAGCATCTAGGAGTTGTTCCAGTAAACATTCTTGTATTTTCCCGTCAAAGGATCCCCGGTAATACTACGAAAGAAACCCCAGAAATAAACGACTGAATGGAAAATCAGCAATAGGTTTTAGCTATCATTATGGGTGGAACACAAAAAGAGCATTTCAATAAAACATGCTGCTTGGTAGAATAGATCAAACCAAAAGTTTGAAAATAATATCTACGAAAAAAAAGAGCATAACACAAGAAAATAGAAGACAGCTTTGATAGCCAAGTTTATAACAGCGATGAAAGAGGACCTAAAAACAATTATTCATTTAGATCAAACCCGAGCACAAAAAGAGTATTGCATCAATCCCCATTCCAACCCATACCCAACTTCGCATGGGCTTTGTACCAACATACATGCAAGACAGGATTCTTCTCGATAGACACATTTTTATTTCCGACCCGCCATTCAAGCACTTCAGAATATGCAATTACGACTGCTCGGGGTGTAAAGCTTCTATCTCCAATCAGTAAATACTATCATTAAGCGGTCTCTGAACAATGGACCTCTAGACAAACTTATATATCCTTAGAGGGCCCTATTTCAACGTTTTTCCCAACCCACACTACACGTTCGATAGCACTTCTCCAAACTCAATACTTTTGGTAAAGTTTCTCATTGGTAAAACTGAAGTCCCGCAAGATAGCAGCAAACGACAGTAGCCATGTGCAGCAGTTTCAAAATACTGGTTTCGCTTTTCCCATTAGAAGCAGATACAATCTACCGACAAACAACTAAAACATATATTGTACTAAAGATGTTATGTTTGATTTGATTACTAAATACGACCGCATCAACCAGTCATTTCTGTTACACAATTCTAAGACAAAAGGGGTCTATATGCAAAAACGTGTTCTGGAGATACGGTGGAAAAATCAAGTTTTTCAATTGTACTTGTATGTTGAATCATAGGCATCGTGCAGTGGTATTAAGTTTTTACCTGCTCCAATACTGCTGCAAGAAGCTTTAGGGCAAACACTCTTTGCTGCAGAAAATTGCTTCTTGCAAGATGGAACAGTTCTTCAAGAGAATAGCCGGGAAGTTCAGGGTCTTCTCCATGGTGATGCAGTCCAAGGTTAGATGGTAAATCTGCATCTTTGAGTATAAGTCTACCTTCCAGATCAAATCTAGCAACAGTGGCAGTCTAAAATCAATACAGAGGACAATAAGATTCGTTCACAAAAATAAAGCAAAAGGGTCTGGTAGAAGACTTAATCTAATTTCGCAATTGGTTCCTTACATGAGATAAGACGAGATTGAGATCAGCTCCAGCTTTTATGGGCAGTGCCACCGAGAGGTGGGGGAAAGGGGGCGAATTGCCTTGGGCCTCGAAGTCTAGGGGGGGGGCTCATTAAGTCATGAGTTCTGTTTTAAAATTGAATTAACTTTAAGTAGCAATATCTTGCCTAGAAAGAGCAAAACATTTCAAACGAATGAAAGAATTTAAGCTAAACTGAAAGGCATGGTCACAAAAATGTTTTCCTCGCTTCGCTCGCAGGGGCCTAATCTTCCTCTTTTGCCCCAGATCCTCCAAAATCTTTTGGCGGCCCGGTTCATGGCGGGGAGGGGGGGGGGTGGGTATTTGATTTGACAGAAAAAGCAACACATAAGCAACTAACGTTGGCTCATATTCATTCGGTGGGAGAGGAATTTAGTTTAAAAAACGATAAACATCTAAGTTCGTCTCGTCGCCATAATACCAATGGCTGTCTAAGTGCTTGCATAATTGCATTAACGGTTTCTATCTGTTTTACAGTTTTCTTTATTGAATAATTTATTTAGCTTATTGTTACTGAGGTTGGGAAAACCTGGGACCAAACCACGGACTAAAATTGGCGTTAAAAAAGACAAAAACAAAAGATTGGTTTTTTTTATACAAGAAATGCATTTGAAATAAATTGTCAAAGCAACAGACCCCTCCTTCTTGTTGGACGATTTTTGGTGCATTTTTAATCCACTGTAATTTTTCATCTTCAATTACATTCATGTTAGGAATATGTTTGTCGATATCAAACTCTTTGTGTGGGTCAAAATCACTGCTATTGTTCTTGGGTACTTTCTGGTTCGAAACTTCATTTTCAACATTTTCGATAATCACTTCCTGCTCTTCAGAATCATCAACTGAGATTTCGTTCATATGCAGCTTTTCTTTCTTGCCCTCTGATGTCTTCTTCTTCTTTAAAAAGGCCAGAAGTTTAGGATCTGCAAAGCAATGAGTCTATAGGTCAAAAACCACAAGTTGTAATTCCTTTGCAAGCAGCTGCGTAACAAGAACAGGGTGCGTGTTATAAATACAAGACCTTACATATAGAGTCCAGAAAAGTGTTTGTTCTTCCCAGATTTTCCTCAAGCTGTAGACACCTTCGTCCGAAAACAGAAAAATAAGGGCATGACTAGGGCGTGGCATTTTCATTTATTTTATTTGACTTCCTCACGGTCAATTACCGTATGACCGCCATAAATTCCGGGCACTGTACAGGAAATTGATTACCCCTTACCCCTTTTCAGAAAATACTTACTTGCAGCTACTCTTAACAAATCTACAGACCAACGGGGGAAACAAATTCAGTGTGAATTAGAGAAACTAAATGTAAGCAACATCTATTAACATACCCTCTCGCTGAAAGAGAGTTTAGCTATTAAGTCAAAATATTTGGTCTGGCTATTCGTGCTAACGAAAAATCGCTTCTATCTAATTTGCACTCTTTAGCTAAGTGTAGAAAAGTAGGCTTCTCTGGGTAATGTGACTTTTATGGGTCTATCAAAGATGAAAGGGGGCGAGTTGCGGCAATTTTACAGAAAAATTAAATCACACAAAACTAAGAATTACAACTGCTATTCATTGACATATCACTAAAGCTTTTGAAATATCTCATATTGAAGACGTATTTTCTAGCAACTTTAGCGGTCTAGTAATGAAATTTTGGAAAATTGTTACATCAATCTGTTATTTGATTCGAGACAAAAACAATTTAGAAACGACTGAAATTGAAAATCGTGTTCTGAAGGTCTAAACTAAGACATAACTTTAATTGTCAAAGAAATTCCAGTCGCTTCGATTTTCTTGACATTTGCATACACAGAAAGCTTGGTATAGTTACTAAGACAGTGGCGGACACTTGGCCAAATATTGGGGGGGTGGAGGGGGCAAGCCTATTGTTTTGATAAGATGACGTAACATTCGTCTAATGTTTTTGAACAGAAGACCATTGCCTTTAAAAATATTTGGGGGGGGGGGGGGGGGAGGTAAAAACACTGACTGAAAGAATATTAACTCAAGTCTTCATAAAACAAAATTTTATTAGCAGTAACTCATCACAAAAATATAGGGATGGAGTAAATAGCAGTTATCAGCATTATAGCTAATTACAACATGCACTACTACTGCAAGGGTCAAGTTATATCATTCATTTGGATCTTTATTTAATTATCTTGGGCTTTTTTTGCTTCAAAACTTTGCACTTAATTTAAAACGGCAAAACAAGCCATAAAATTTCTCACAACATTGCCACAGCAAACTCACCGATTGTTGCCTCAAGCTTTGCCTTTGCTTCTAGAATCTCACCTTCGGTCATCTCAGCCAATTTGCGAGTATTTTCTTTGTGAATTTCGTCCCTCTCTTTGTCAGCATTTGGCCTTGAGTCAAGGTCTTTTCCGCTCACTATTCCTATATTTTTCAAACGTGCATCTCCTGAGACACTATGTTGATGGGAAGCATTATTGTCATATTTTGATTTACTGTTATCCACAATGCTGGCAGTTTCAGACTCTCCACCGAAAGACACATTTCTCTCCTGTTCAAGCCCAAATGCTGCTGAGTTTTCGGACAGGAACTGCCTGGCAAAAAGGCTTTGCTTCTTGTTTGCCTGAAAGAAATACATAATGAATAATTCAGTAGAATTCGGAAACATCTTCTCATATTAGTTATGCACAGTGTACGTATTCAGTCGAAGAATAGTCCAAAAGCATTTATCAGAAAAACTAACACTTGAGCTTACCAAAAAAATTTGTTTCACTGCTTTTTTTAAGCGCAACAAATTAAAGTTTAAAAAATAGTTTGAAGTACTACTGAGAAAGGAGATTAAATACCAAGAAAAATTTTCCGATCAGCCATGGCACTTGGAACAATTTATTACGATAGAGTTTTTACTACATTAAAACCAAATACTAAAACCACTATTAACCGTCTATACGGAAGTAAGAAAAGACATGTTAATGTACAGTCTCCAAATGAAAGGGCTCTAAAATGTCCAAAAATGTATTGAACTAATTTGAGCAATTCATGCAATTTGAGCGTGATAAAAAAAGATAACATAGAAAGTGGTTTTGCTGAATTCGAATTCCCGGACTTCCATCTCGATAACCTTTAACATACTTAATCTGTTTAGGCGATTTGGCTGACGTCAGGTCTTTCTGGACATAAACCAAATTAAGTGTCAAACCAGTGACAAAGTGAACAAATATACCGAAAGGAAAAGCCCATGATTATTAAAAGTCTGACAAGATTAATTGTTCTTATTTCATTTTAATTAATATGAAGAAGGATTGTCTTTACCTACGATAACAACTTCATTGGAAAGACAAAAATTACTTTGTGTTTCTTATTGGACCATTGCGCTAGCTGAGTGGTACAAACAGCAAAGGACGAGATGTTTTATATAGCAGTTATAAAAAAGCATAAATGCGCTTGAAGTCGATTGTTTAAGAAAAAATAATCCCATCAAGTGTACAAACCAGTAAAGTGCGTTTAAAATATGCACTAGTAAGAAATGGTAAGGAGTCAAATAGGATAAAAATGAATCCTAGCTAATCTCAGATGTTTGTACTAAAAACTTTGTATCCCAAATTCTGGCACTGGATGTACATCTTAAACCGGCTCTTTCTAGATAATGTACTTTAATCTGTTTTCCTATCTGTTACTTTACTGTGTATGACAAACAAGGGACATAAGAAAGAAAGAGTTTGACAAATACATAGTTAGAAGTAAAAGTCAATTTGTTACGTCATTTAATATTAAGCAATAAGTTTATTCTGTAGACACAAATATATACAAATACTTGATCAAATTTTCGATCAACCCTAAATACTCGCTTTTCCGTTTCCATGCTCAAAAAGATAGAACTACAGACAGTGATGGTCGCAGAACCAATTGTTTGCAGGCACAATTTAACGCAAGACCTCCTCAATCGAGCTTAAAGAGTTGACTAAAAAATACTTTAAATAACAGCAGGAACAAATATAGCAAATAATGTGAAAACCTTTTTTAATAGAAAACATTACACTTTGAATTCCACTGCTCCGTATTCCTTCAGGTTTCTAACCAGCAAAAAAAATTTCGACCAAAGGCTAAATTTGCAAAACTCCTTTGACAAACGGTAAATCAACAAATATCTAAAAGTTAACAAAATAGTAAGAATGTTGATGAGTTTTTTTCACATCATATTCACTTCACACTAACCCCTCATTTTCTCAAGGCAGTTTGGATTGAAGCAATATATACTGCTCATTTCACAAACCTTTGGCTCGTTGGTCACTATGTCTTTTCCAAGGTGAGGTACAGATGGAAACCCTCCTTCAAATTGTTTCTGCTTCATTATTGATGGTTTTATGACATGACGTTCCTTGAAAAATGAACCGATGAAAGATCAACTTATTCAAACCATAGTAGAGTATTTCAAAGGCACATCATAAACCGAAAACGAAGAAAGGTGAAACGTGGATCCATAATATGATAATTTGACAAAACAGGTTTCTTGATAAACTTAAAAAGCAAAATATCTTACTCTTAAAGAAGTATTGAAAAAGATATTTACTGCCTAATATACTTAAAATTGAATCACCAAAATATATTTGACATACGTGAAAGAAAAAGCTTGACACTAGAAAACACATAAGTAGATGTAGCGGTGAGTGACTTTATTAAATGTCCCAATTTAGATTCAAATTCCCTAAATTCTTCCACTTGTAGCTTTATAATCATATTATCACTATTGTCAATTAAGTTCAGAATCATTGTGTTCAGTCAGTAAGCACCAATATCTGGATTGGTTACAAAACTATTCTGAGAAGCTTCCAAACAAATTAAAGCAAAAAACCCATTTTTTCAAAGAAGTTATTAGATTACAGACCAAATCTCAATTAGTCTCTAATATCAGCTACAATCTAAAAGATCATTTTCGAGTTGTGCTCAATTCAAGATCTTCAAAAATCTTTTACCAAAAACACATGTCATTCTATACCTATGGCTCTCTTCCATAGGGCATGTCATATCTGGATCTGTCATATGTTATCATTTCGTGATAGCTGGCTCCTTGTTAATTAGATTGACTTCTTGGAACCAGACTGGCTCAGGAATTGGACCAGAGCAAGATCAGGCCTCTGGCTAAATATCAAGAATTAAGCCTCTGGGGTTTCATGAACTATACTATACGTTTTTGTGGGCTACTTTGAGATATGTTTCAAGCAACAGTGGAAAGCTAACCTTGATCCTTGATAACATTGTTGTAATATGATTGTCTTTCTCTAAAAAAAGATAAAATCAAAAGCTTATTAATGGAATATAGTTTTGCAAAACTCAATAAAAGAGCATAAAATAGCATGAAATATATTATAGTCATAGTCTAGTCATAGTCTAAACAGAAGTTTAAAATTGTAAGAATATTAGCTCGGGTGATGATTATATATTCTGTGTTTTGACGAAAAATAAAATATATCAGTATCGAAAATGATCCCATTCACACCTTCTAGCAGCTCAAATGCACTAAGAGTGTTCTTTGAAGATCCCTAGGAAACAGCATTAAAAGGAAACAATTCAGTAAATATGCTCTGACATGATACAAAAATACAGTAGCCTGAAGCTGACAGAAAACTTGTCAAGACAGCTTTTAAAATTGATTTTAAATTTCTATGGAAATATCAAGAAAGAAGGACAAATTTTAAAATGATAAATTCATCAAAACCAAAAATGCTTTCATAAAATCTGATCAATGACATAATATGGCTTTGAAAAAACCAAAAAAGTATACCCTGGCTACTAAAACAATGCAGGTGTAAAAAATACTCATAAAATAAAAACATATATGACATTGTATAGAAAATTCAAAACATAAGCCCAGGGCTTATAACAGTTCAAAGGCAGTTTTAGGGGGCTGATGGTTGGGGTGGGGAATTTTCCATGGGGACTATCCAAAGTAAGTTAATGTAAGAAGAAATGTAAGAAGAAGACAGTTTTTAATTCAAATGGGAAGATGAGTCATGTATCTGAAACATTTACAGTAACGCTGAAACCATTGTGGAAAGATTGGTATATTTAAAAAGTCACAATAGCTAGTGAAGCTGGAAAGGCCCCTGAAACACACTGACTTAAGGAGAAGGCATTGAGATACCCTGTACATATAGCCTTTAAGGTAACAAGCATTACAAACTAAATGTAACAAATGCATTGAAAAAACTGAATAATATGTAGAATTTGTTCTTCTTTTACTCTCAATCTGTTATGGTGTGTATTTGTGCTGAATGGAGAAAATAGTGTTTAGTTCCATATTTAATTCCAGATTTGTAATTCAAAATTTAAGCCCTTGGCAAGTTTACATCCCCAGAATGGGGGCTCAGAGAATGGTTGCTTATAATGAGAGGGGACGATTTAAGGAATTTTGGGGTATACCAGACAGGCTTTTCTATTCAATGTGAACAATCACTCAGGATAACCTCAGCACTCGCCCAAACCACACCAAACAGGCCTTTGATTGCTCGCACAAAACGGTTAATTGTGAGGAATAAATGTTTCATAATAAAATAATTTCCAGTCAAAACGTACTAAAAGCTTTTGTCTGGTGCTCTTCAGAGTATAAAACTTCAGAAAATAGATCAAAAACGCTACGCTAGGAAATATACATACCTAGTTGTCGAACAAAGTAGGCTAATCAAAAATGCAAGTACGTGACAGTTGAGGTTGCACAAATCAGTGCCTCTCACTTATTGAAAATTTACTAAAGGAGTCCTAAGATGAAAAGGAACTCCTTCTGTCTACACCAGGGGTTGGCAACCCATGGCCTGGATGCCAGAATCTGGCCTGGGAAGAGTATTTTTGTGAGATCAAAAATATCACATTATAATTTTTTTTGGTTGGCGAGGATAATCTTCCAAGCGGCCACAAATATTGAATGAAACCAATCGATACAAAATTAGATTATCTAATATCATTTATAAAACCTGGGAATCATGGACAGATTTGTTCACTATCCAATTTCAAATTCATCCTACTTGAAGACAGGACAGCAAATCTTTGAGAGACTGGTAACAGTAAACAAATGCAGCAAGTATGAATCTTACTGGTTGCACTCATCGCAGTTGAGCAGGGATCACGGTTGTCCCATTTTTGGCATGTCTTAGTTACTAGTGTGCTGGGGGGCCTTTTTTGGATAAATTGATGTTAACCTAAATTTCAGTGAATGGTCTGAGCTAAAAAGGCTGATGCTAGACATTGATTGGTTGAAAATTCTGCATGTCCTTCCTAGGATGTTTTCTCCAAACCTGAATGACATCCTTTTCAATTTTTATTGGCAGCACTGGTTGGGCAACCACAACTGATTTTTATTATGAAGAAGTTGTTATCCTTACCGGGAGCAATTGCTCACACAAGAGAATTCACCAGAATGCTGGGCCACTTACATATGGGCTATTTCTTATGAAAAGGCCTGACTGGAAGTGATACTGCTATGTTGATATTCTTATAAATATTGGAAAGAAAAAGGACACCTAATTCCTTGATCCTTAAGTCCAAAATGATTCTGAAAATCCTATTCTTTATACTGCGAAGGCAAAAACAATATACTATAATTTCCTAGAGCTCAAACCATGAAGCCATATTCTATCCATCAAAATTGGTAAGGATGGACAGATATTTTGAACACTGAGAACAAATTATTATGCAACCTTCAAAAAAGCTGTCAAAACCAGCTATGAAGCCAAAGTTTAAAAGGATTTAGGTCTTACCAAGCAATGTAAAGAGTGTTTTACCTCTGAGCTTTTTTCCATTCTCGTTTTAAATCTTGACTTTTTTGAGAATTTGTCTTCATGCTGGTGCTCATCTTCAATGTTAAAAAATTCAGAAAAAAAAAATTACTAAAAGCTCATAATGAAATCAAAACAAATTAGGCTAAGCAGACATCCCAAAGTTCAAAGAATAACATGATGATCATATTTACCTGTTAACACAATTTTCAAAGCAGAAAAAATATTTAGTAGTTACTTGAAGTCAGAACCACAAAGAGCAAGAAAAACATGCAGGAATCCAAACGAATTACTAGAGAGCCATACTACCTAGAGATTGATAGGAACTCTACATTGGTTGGCCAAGAACTGAAAAAACTTTTAATGAGGCTTTGACATTATCAGGTACATCAAACAGGGCCTTTTTTAATACATTCTTACTTTCATTATCGTAACAAATTAGCTGTTGTCTTCATAATTTTATAAACAGAGGCTCCTCTCCCAGCTCATTTCTCTTCAAAATTGCTAATTTCCTTGCTGAATCAAGTAGTCCCTGTCTGTACCTGTGTAATCACCCAATTTTAAAGTAGTTCCTACTTCTTCCTGGTAGCTCCTGTCCGTTCCTGGCCAGGAACGTTGGTTCCTACACTTGATGATTGCCAACAAATGAACACCATTTTATCAGTGCAACTAAAGATAAAAGTGCCCTTCAAAATAGTTAAGGTTTGACTTTTTTGGTTATAAATAAACGTTTATACAGCATACCATTTTCGTGCAGCGATACAATGTCCCTGGTTTTATCCGACGACTTGCTGATGGTAGCTGATGCGTCCCTTGCTACTCTTTGAACTTTTGCAGAAGGTTCTATGCCTTGCTGCAAGAACTGGTTTTGAAATCTTATAAGATCTTCTTCGTCTTCTTTTCTTTTAGGCCTCTGCATCTTGATTTACACAACCTTCGCTTAATTTTTGCTGTGAGCTTGTTGCATCATGCATCCAAATAATTCTAAACAAATGCAACTTTTAGCAGCCATTGTCAAACAACCTCTTTGTGGCGGGCAACGTCGTCGCTATGCTTCATATAAGGCTCACAGAAAATTCCTCTCGAAACGGTTCGAAGTGTTTGAAATATAAAAAAATAATTTTTTGCATCATAAATTTTCGATGAAAGTAAAAAGTAGAATAGTTTCTTACTACAAAAGAAGATCGAAATTTCGATTCCACTGATAGACTCGCTTATTGCCTGGTCTAATAATGTTTGTAAAATGGTTTAACTGATAAAGAGTTTAGACCTTGAAACTGTTCGAATTGAAATGTTTTGGCAGAAATTCGTTAGGTTAAAGGATGTTTAAACACATCATGTTTTTACATTAAGATTTATTCCACACCCCTCCCCTCTGTTAAATCATTAAATCATTAAAAATTCAAGTTTAGGCCTAGTCAATCTAAAGAAACTTTACAAAAAATGAAAGTTGCTTGCAACTTCTGGCCCATATAATAGGCTATTTTGAAAACGCTACCTGTCTACACTTATCTGTATTTTCTAATCTCTGCACTACCGATCGATGCTTGCTCTTCTAAGCCATTACAAAATCCTTATTTGAAAACTATCCGTTTTGTTTATGGTCTGTTTTTGGCAAAGTACAGTATTTTGGGCAAAGTATTTACTTTTTTTCTTTACTTTCTTGTCTGATCAATGTGGTATCAAAGCCAAAATGGGTATATTCTTCCAAGAATTTAGAAAAAATTCAGGCCCTGTGTACTGACTTTGTAAATCTGACTCGTACCTACTGTGCTCAGCAAAGCAGTCCTTTTGTGAAATGAAATGTATTGCGACAAAGGCATTCAAAATGACATTGGGACTGCTTTCCTTAGGTTTTTCTTTTTTAATCGAAAACGTTATTTCTACGAATTTAAAACGTTATTTCTACGTTTTAATATACCATAAACATTTCTAATTCTTGTAGGAAACGTTGAAATGACTACGTTGAAACTTTTTCACCCCTACCTCCCTCCGCCTTTAATTTTACTCAGAGGGGGGGTGGGGGTGGGGAGGGGAGAAAGAGGGTTGATATTGAACTTTACACGCATAACACTCGACGCGATTTTAGGAAATCTTCTCAACATCTGTGTCCATTGCAAATACCAAAAGTAAGTAACTATTTCTTCTACAGCTTTTTCCGATAATTTGGGGTGAACCTCTTTGTTCTCTCCCTAGTACTCTACCCTTGCCAGTATCATTTTTTCTCTTCCTGGCGCTGTTTTCCCAATTCTAACAGAAGGGAGTTTGATAATCAACAGCTTACAGATAGCAGTGTTATTAAAAGAAAAGCCATTTTGTCGATCTTCTTTGATACTCAAGCAAATGTTTAAACAATGCAAAGTAAGTACAAATAAGTCAAAGAAAATAGGACGACTAAAGACATGTGCGTTTCACAATCACAATTCTAAACAAGGGGTAGCAGGAGCGTCAAAAAGGGAGCTTGAAGAAATAATGAAACAGGTAGGTCTTTGGTCGGGCAGCATGTGAGAATTTTATGTCTGTGATAACAATTTGGTATAATGATAATAAAGGTTTATTTTATCATGGGTGCTACAGAAGGTCTGCTCTCCCTCTTCTGACAAGCCTGCTGGGAAGTGCTCCCGAGAAGCACCATTTCTTAAATGCAATATCATTAACTGTTGATAAATATACAATAGCAAATCTGGAACAGTTTAAAAAAGGCGTATGATAAATTAAAGAATAGATAGTTTGGAAATCTGCAATCTAATGCGGAAACTACCCTTGAGATCAATTGAATGTCATAAATGCTTAAAAGGCATAAAATTATATACAGATTATGAGTATAAATACAGATTTGCTTTCTTGGGGTGTACCGATAAAAATTCGACAGGGCTTGGAAACCTTTACCTTCCTATATCTTGTTCAGAATATCATTAGGGAGAGAAGCCTGCTGATGGTTTTTAGTGGCAGAATAAATTTATTGTTTGAGCTTCATGATAGTGATTACTCACTAATTTGGTTTAGTAGCCAGTGAGTAGTTATCTTTTGGTTAAGTTGCCATTGTACATCAATACAAGATCTCTGGGCCAAGCCTCTGTCGTTTGTATAATTCGAGTGCACCCCCTTGGTTTTACAGGTACTCAAGCTATTCATAACTAGCAATGAATGCCCTCTTGGATTTATATTACAATGCTGACTTTGTCATCATCAATAAAGTTTTTGTCTTCGTAAAGCGCATAGATACCAGCAGTTTTTAGCAGGGTTTTTTTATTTGTTCTTCCACGGCATTAAGTGGATTATATTGCATTTAGCTTTAGTCTTATATAAAAAAGTCATAGCAACTTTCAGATAGCTTCTTTGGATATTGATACTGTACTGAGGCTCCGTAATAATTCATTTTGTATATGAGTCCATCTTTGATAAAATAAAGGTACGAGTTTGGTGCGATAAAAGCCGTATCAACATCGTCAGGAACCCCGTGCCAGTAACGCTGGATGCTTCTAGGGTAGCCAGTTTCCAGCTTCTGGTAGTAGTCATTGTACTTCCAATATTGATTTCCCTTGAAGAAGTAGGTACGTCCGTTACCAGTCCAAGAAGCAACTGCATCAACCTGTCCAAAGGCACTGGGCAAACCCAGCGCCTGGATGTCATTCGGGGGTGTGATCAGATCGCGGTCGTTCATATAGACAGCATACCTTCGAGAGATGAAAGATAGTCAATGTATGTCTACTAATAAGGCAAAACTAACCCTCATAAAATTTCTTTAATTTTGTTTACAAGAAATTAATATCTGTATAGAGATAATAATATATACAAGCTAAGGCACAGGCTTTGTCAAGCATTCTGTCTTTGTTAGCAAGATAACACAAGTCAAGATGACACCCAACGTGCTTCCTAGTATAATGAAGACTTTTAAACCCTTCTACGGTGAAACTTTGACTGCACAAAGGTGTTTCGGTAATAAGCAAGAAAGGAAAGTGTCGTTCAAAAGATTAAAAAGCTTAAAAGTAAATCGATCATGAAACTTGTTTATTACAAAATGTTTTGCAACTAGGGAATAAGTTTCACATTTTATGAAGATAGAAAGGAAAGGTTTTTGATAAATTTTGTCAAGCACCTGCGCAATTCAGAGCTCTTGTTCTTTCATTTTATACAACGAGGTGATTAGAAGAAAAATGGAAGAAACTATGTTATTTAACCTTGACTGCCAATAGCTCTCCGAAAGCTGTTAAAACCAAAATTGTATCAATTACAATAAAAATACCAGGTAACTTGTCTGAAAACGCTATAAATGTTCCAACTATAAAATATGGACATGTTGAATGAGCTTGCATTGGTCCCTTAATGACTTTGTGTACAGCGGCGATTTTTCATGTTTTCTCAACTCTTGAAAGATTCGCACTACAGATTATCACTTAGGTGAAACTAGAGCTGAGCAGATGGAATGCATGGGGTGAAGTTGTATCTCTGGTTACACAGAGGATTGAAAATTCTTTTAGCATTTAATGTGGAATGCTTCTTTTTGCAGTGAGAAAGATTAGCGTAATTAGTTCAAATGACCGGTTCTCGGTATAGTGAAACAATTTACGATGTTGCTTCGCAAAAGAATATTTTATTTTTATCGAAGCCACAGACAGCTTCATCGCGATGGTCCAGTGACGTCATTGCATTGATATGGTTCGCTCAACTCTTGCAAACGCTAGCCCTGCCTGAACTCTGAAGGGAAAGACCGATTTTGTAGTTTCCCCATATTAACAAGGCCGTGTTTATGAGCTAGCCCATCCTCAATTCAGGTCTGCAGCAAGACTTCGATTGATTGATTGATATGATAAGAGCAACGTTACGCTTCGCTTTAGGAATAATGAATTTCAATAAGGCCAGAAAATGTTACTCACTTGTTTTTGAAAAACAGGATCGTCTTCCCATCTTGCGTTCTGAAATGTCCGTCCTGGATGGGCGCTTCAACGTAAGGCCATACGAAATTGATTGGAAGTGGTCCCCTTTCTATGCCATACCTATCCAGGACATACACTAGGTCTCCATCGATTGCATAGATTTTACCGCCTTGGCCTTTGAACATTGCGTCAACCTTACTTGGGCATGGCTTACGGTAATAATGCGATGGCATTCTGCTTTCGGGGATCTTGTACACTCTTGGCTCAGGTTTGTAAACTCGGGTTACACGATTACGACTTTTCTTCTTCTGCGATTTGATGATAAGTCTGTTTGATAATTTTGAGTCAACGATTACTTTTGTTGTTTTCACTTGATTGTTCTTTGCTTGGTTTGATAATCTGTCTTTAAAATATTTTGATGGCGAAGATTTTTTTAAGGTTGTTCTTCGCTCCAAAGTAGTGGCTACAATTGGCTTTTGCGTTGTTTGGGTAATGACTTGTGATGTTTTTTTCGCGGGTATTATATTCAATCCCGTAGACAACTTTGTTGTAATAATTCTTTTTGTTTGAAGTTTATTCATATTTAGAATTTTTCTTACTTGTTGAATAGGAGATGTTGTTTTTGTTTGCGTCGTCTTCCCAGAAACTGTTGTGACTAGAGGCACAACAATGGTCTTGACCTTACTTTTCAACAAAGACGTACTTGTTTCTTGTGTTGATTCTGAATATACTTTAAGCAATTTTTTACCTGATGCAGTTTTAGGGGATTTATTAGAAGTTTTCGGTGCATTTGTTGTCATATTTAGGACGAGCAGTGGTTTTCCATTTTCGTGAATGAGGTTCAGCTTTTGGTCGTTTTGACTTGTACTTGGTTTTTGATGTGAGGTCGATGGTGTAGGAACCGGAATACTTGTAGGGCCTAAGTCTGTAGATGATTTCGTTTTGCTCCCTGCTAGACGGAATTGTTTGGCAAAGTTGTCTTTCACTTCATTTTTTATTTTTTCAAAGTCGTTCTTCCATAAAGTAGGTTTCGTTTCTGGGGCTGCTGTTCTTACATCTTCGTTTAAGGCAATTGTATCTGGCTCTTCGTTGCTAATAAACTTTTTTGCTAGGAATTTCGCTCCATATTCAAACGCATCTTTAAAGAAAAAAAAGTCTCTTTCACTTGGAAAGCTTGGATTTCTAACTGGTCGACCTGGGTTCACTCTTTTTTTGGATATCGATTTGGCTCGTTTTGCCAATAAATCCCGTAAATTGTACCTTCTGGCTGGAGGTGATCTCAAAATTTTGTCTCTAGGTACCATGCTACGGGTCGGGTGCCTGTCTAAAACTGGTTGCCTTTCTAATGCAACTGATTTTTGAATTTGGTATAGAAGATCGACTTTTGATTTGTTTTTAGGCTTTGAAGCACGGTCGTCTCCTCTCGAAGCAGTTTTTATACCTTTGTAAGAGTTGTCCTGTGCATCAGTGATATAATTCAGACGCAGTGAATTCTTTGGATTTCTCTCGCTTGAACCCGAGTAGAAGCGACTTTCATATAATCCTCCTTTCTTGCCATTGTTAAGTTTTCTTCCTAATGTCAGCAAGAATTTGTTGTTCTTTGTCTTGGCAAATGCGTCTGTGCTGCTCTGCGGCAAGTGTTGCAACTGGCCTCCTTTCTTTTTACTATTTGCATTGGGTTTCTTCAAATCGTCATTTATGACGGGCTTGTAGACTGGTGCCGACAACGTGATGGATTTCCTATTACTTTCTGGAGTAACATCCTCGATGACGTCATGATCAGTCAAAATTCCATTTGTATGGGTCAGTTCTTCAGAGGTGTATATTTTTCCTTGCACTGGATCTGAAGAATATTTGCCAAGGCTGCTGCGAGGAAAATCAAGCATGGAGAACATCTCGAAACCGCCCAAAGTTTTCAAGTTCTTTTCCTGCAGGACAGAAGCAAGAATAGCAAAGTATTAGAACTGCACAAAAGTATTTTCCATGGATCACTCTAAAACAATTTTTTAAGTTGTCTCATTAACTAGACAATCCGAAACAAGATCAGATTCAAAAGGTTTTCTTAAACTATTGAGTACCTTTTGTTCCAGCGAACTTCAAAATATCTTCATCATCGGTTAATTTACTTTATGTGATACATTTTTTGTAAGGATCATTAAAAAGGAAACGAAAAACTAAATAAAAATAGAGTGAAAATAAAAATTGTGTTTTCATCGAAATCAGTTGTTCTGGGTTTCTCTAACAGTTGATTCAAGATTATTTTAGTATTTAGAAATGCATTTGACATTGCCATGGAAAGAAAGAGCAAGATTTTTGAAGATCTTTCGGGGAATATAACCTCAAAAACTCATAGTACCTTTCAATACATTAGGTTTACTTTAGTTACATTAGTTTCAGCCAATAAAAGCCATTGGTTTTCATAATGTGGATACAAGAAAATGGCATTTCCATTCTAAATTTTCACAACGGCAATTCCTGTAACGAAAATGTGCTTCTACAGTAATTTTTCACAACCGCTCATGCTCATCAACTCAGTTTAAGCTTGCCTAAAACGTATGCCTGTAAGGTCATGCAGGCTAACGGCAACGCCAGCCACTAAGCTCTGGTGGGGGGGGGGGGACTAAGCAAACAATTGTAGGCCACGCCCTTTTTACCATCACAAAACACCTTTTTTCCAACAGGGAACGCCAATTTCATCAGAGAGGAATGGCCATTACCAACTTTTGGCTACGTAGAGGCAGTTTGAAATTATAGGATTACATCACTAAAAGTACGTTGTCGAAATATTACCCCTCCCCCAAAATTTTCTCATCAAATTTAGACGATATAAAAATTGATCCTGCCAAGAACTGAGGGCGACGTGTCCGCTACTGTAATATTTGAGGCGACAATGCAGGCTCTCTGTTATATTACCATTGTCACCTGCTCTGACCTGCTTTTCAGCCCTCTATAAAGATCGATAGTTGAATACGATCGTTTTTAATTAAAAATGTTATGAGCCATTTTACGTGAACCCTGTCGGCTATTCGTATAAGGCTTACACATATGTAATCTAGTTACGCCTGAATGGCACGCAATGTTCGGAATTGGTTAAAAGTAACATTGAATTCCTTATTTGATGTTCTGGCAAACATCATAAAGCAAAAACAAGGTTAATTAAAATGTTGTTTTTATTAAGTAAATATTTTATAAAAATGATTGCCGGAGAATCAAAGGGAGAAAAAAGCATTTTTCTTGCAGTTTTTTCCTTTAGGATCTCTGGTTTTTTGTAAGTCTTTTATTCGTATGTTTATCTTGTTATCTATTTAACACGTGAACTTATTACTTAGAAAAGTCTCCTGAAACTTAAAATAGACTTGAACTTGGATTTCAATGAGTTCTATTTTCGTATTTTGGCGGTGGGAAAAATCCTGTAGACTTCTTGTTTTATAATACGATTTGTTGATTCATATTTGTCTTGTGTTTTCTGCTGTAAATTGATTCGGTTCACGCAGATCAGGCGAAAGATTAACATTTATCTCAAATAATACTTTAACGGGCAAAGCTAACCTATTTGCTTGTAAATGGTGAAGACAAAGAGTTTTTACAATATTTTTCAAACGGAAAGCTGTTAATAATTTGAAGACTGTCAAGGCATTTCTAAGAATAATATTCTAGCTAAGTGGTCAGCTTTCTTCGTCGATTTGTTGTGGAGACCAATAAGAGAAAGTCTTTGATTTAGCGATGCAGTTCTCCGTTCTGGAGTCAAAGGGCGTGGATTTTTGTCATCATTGCTCATAGGTTCCATACATTTGAAAACTAGCTCTCGTTTATCTCTTCAAAAAAAGTACAGTTTCATTTAGCATAAGGTAGATGCAATGCTTTCGAAGTTACATAGCCATGTCCTTCAATGCCTTTTGGACAGTGGCGGTTTTTGGGACTCACTCTTTAAAATTCTTTCTTTTTTCTTAGTTGTGGGGCCCCTTTTGGCTACCATAAGCGCGGAGCCTGTGGCCATGCTTCTCCTGGACCTCTTAAAACCGCCACTGCTTTTGGAATAGCAAAATTTATCTTGTAGAATATTGGTATTTTTAATCATATTATAAGTTTTTGTAATCATGTCCTTGCTACTGTATGTTAACCCCGTTTTATCAAAGAAAGTGTAACCTAGTGTAACCTATATTAAAATCATGATGTCATGACTTAGGACCTTAATCTAGCGCATTCAACGACCCAATTGATATGGAAATACTCTCGTTTATCCTAATATTAATGTCTTCATGGTGGTCTTCAAATTATAATTAAGAGAAGAAATCATAATGCTGGCAATGCTCATTTGACGGTATAAAAAACTCAATCGGTCGAGCACCGGAAATTATCCAAAATTGCTTTTGCTCAGGAAATGTTGCAATCAAAAAAGTATTAATCTTTGGTACGCTACCACACATGCCGATTGCGTTAATAATCAATGAAAATACTTGACTTTATAATTAGAAATATGCTCGCAAAGCAACCTCTGAAGAATACTTTGATGATCACGCAAAGGGAAAAGACCCGATAAGGTTAAAATAGATGTACTTAAAATGCCACAAGTATTGACTTCTTTCTTTGCAAAGCTTCTTTAGATACACAATTTCTCTGTTCAGCATAGTCGTTATAATTTGAAAGCAACAATTTTTTGTTGTCTTTTCATTTAGCAATCAGATATGAAATTTACAGTTCTTTGATAAGAAGTTGTGTGGTTGCACGAGTAGCTTATGTCCCCTTCTTAGACCATGACACTGAGCCAACATTTAATAGCGCTAATTGAATTATGCAGTAACTTCTGATGTGCATTAAAGACTTGTAAAGAATTCAAAATTACGTTAGTTATTAGAATATTGATAAGAAATATGGAGACAATATCACCCTACTGCTTGTTTTTGAGTGTCAATATCACTTTAATTTGATTATTTTGATGCTGAAATGGCAATGTATTGGGACATTTATGGAATATTTAAACACGAACACGTATGTGTTTAACAAATATTTAAGTTTTAAACAACTTTTGATGTTTTAAAAAGCTGTTGATTATGTTATCAACATCAAAAGCTATGCTGGAGACCTACCAGGGTGAGGCAAGCTGCTAGTAAAACTCACTTTTATTTTGTTTAAAAACCAAACGAACTTAAACGAGGTCAATAGGGTGTGGTATCAAGGGCAACACCCATTACCCTCCCACTCTGCAGTAGCTGGCGCCGCCACTGCTTATAAGAAAGACAGGTGTGAGATATCGAGGGAACCACCATCGATAAAAAGTTGCTATGATTGTGAGCTTAAAGAACACCTACGTAGAACACAGCGTTTTTGCTCTATGACCCTACAATACTATTGTAACAAATATCCTTTATACAGAACTTTGGAATGGCCTAGTTCAAAGGTCTTCAGAGAATCGTATGTGATTTCTTGACCTAGCACAGTTAATGAGATTCATCATGCTTATGTGGAAAGTTTAATCAATAAGTGGGTTGACACCTGACGCTTTGAAAAATCCAGATATATATTTCTTTTCTCTGGTAGAAAAATATGTCATTTAAAGTGTTGAATCACTCACTTAACACCCAATTCATTTACAAGTTATATAAAGTCCACGAAAAACGATATGTTAATAGAAGATTTACAGCTAAATTGAGAGCTTGATAATCCAATCTCTTCTTCTGACAAATAATTTTGGGTGTCCGTTTAGTTTATGACTCGAGAAAACAAGAATATTAAGCCGAGCAACAGATGACCGAGTTAAGCAATTTCGCTACATATAATATCTTGTTGTGGTTCTTAGATAGGCCATTATCTGAATACAAACATCATATTATGAATAGAAGTCCTTCATTTTTCATCTAAGCAAGAATGAGATCAATCTTTATATAACAGCGGCCTTTTTGCAACGGTCTTTTAGTTCCTAGCTTTAAGTTCCTAGCAAGCATAACGGTCTTTTAGGTCTTTTAGTTGGTTTTAGCTTATAGTTCCTAGGAGCAATTTTGCTTAGAAAAGGAAGAGCGCATAAGATGGCTAGGGATTTAAGGAGAAGACCAGCCATTGTTTACTGAATAGGTTCCAATTATTATTCCAGGACCTGCATTCTTTAAATGCGTAAGGTGGATCATTAGATCTACAATTCCGGCTCCCCCTCTCTGATGTCACAATCTGGGTTTGGTTCTTCTAACAATCTCTCACGGCCAGGAGATGTTCCAATTCTAGCACGTGCAGTTAGTACTCACCCAGAGTATGCTTTGTAGTTAATTACGCGAACTAACTTGCTTCATCTCATTCAGCAGTGATTATCTTGTCCAATCCAGATATATTAGACTCTAATGCTGATAACCGAACAAAAACAGAATGGATTTAAAACATCTTTGGATATGTGTGCCTAGCCGACTATTGACATTAGGGCTGCTCTAGCATGACATCAGCGTTTCAGAAGGCTAGACCTCCCCGAAAGAAAACTGTATAATTTGCACGTAATGCTGGCTTATTAGTCTGCGTTCTATCGTTCTTCTAAATTTATGTTGGCGTTCTATCGTTCTTCTAAATTTACATTTTTCTTTTGTAAAAATAATAGTTGTTGTCGAAATGGAAAAATCTGGCCAATGAATGAGAGGCTAGTTAGTAACATGAAGGCTATTACTAGAACTGTTAATTTATTCGTTCTGGTTACAAATGAAAGACCAAACCAGACTTCTATAGATTTTACATGATACAGTGTTCGATAAAGTACTCATTGATACCTTTTTCCTTTACAAATGACTTATTGTGTTCTAAATTTGTAGAATAATTTCGATGGATTACGAAATGCCTGGTCTTTGTTTACGTTGATGACTAATTAAGAATCAATTGTCATCCAGTTGACTTTAAGAAAGATGGTGGATAAAATGGTTGCTTATTTTTTTCAGGAAGTTGTAACAACTTGTGT